TTCTGGTCTTCTACCTCACGTGCAAAATGACACACATTGCCCACAGATAAGGAATTTTCAACTAGGCATTACAGAAACCATTAATTGTTTATCAATAATACTAAATATTTCAATTCATAATTACTTGGACAAACACCACATTACAATAAGACTTCTGAAGAAGTGATTGATGCAACAAAGGTTCAATAAAAACATGGTGATTCCCTTTAGACTTATACACACTGTCCTTGTGATTAAAAATGAAAAATATTATTAGACAAAGCATCCTGTATGATCTGAGGCACTTCAGCCTTTTGCTAAAGAAAAACCAGAAATGATTCTTGGGTGGATCAGAAATGTTTGAATTTAGAACTTCGTATTACCATGTTCATTCATTCTTATACCTGCTGTAGAGAAGCAAACATTCAGCTTATTCAGTGTGCCAGTTATCACCACCATGATTATGTACAATAGTGAACATATGCAAACAAAACACAGAAATTACCTTTTCTAGAATTCTACCCCTGAGCCTTACAGAAACTCCCTACTCAAGCCTTTTTTCATTCATTGAAGGCAGAATCACTCAATTAAATTTTATTAGTCTGGTAAACCCCATCTTTTGTTCAGGTATTAAAATACCAGGTAATAGTCCAGCCTAGTATAAGCTCAGAGAGAAGAGTTTATTAAATCATTATTTTTTAAAGACTGAAAAAATAAAAGAAAAAGGCGGGGGACAGGGATGGTTGATCACTATTAAACACATACATATTGAAAAAATACATGCATTTTATCTGTGGATGTGTCACAGAATTTAGCCTGAGATGGAGTCCATTGACTGAGAATCCTTACAAAAATAAAATTAAAGCTGGTTTTAACCAACTCTTCAGAGGCAACCCAAGTCCAAAGCACAACAACAGTCATAAGACATTTATTACTCAAATACAGCTGAAAGGACACTCCCCCAACAAGCCATGTTCTGGAAGATGTACACACACCTTCCTTAGCAGTCCTGGGTAACCAGGCATTTGTAGAGCCATGACATCAGGTTTCTCAATCCTGCTGCCCAAGGCATGTTTTTCCATCTCAGCTACTATGTCAGTGATGGAAATTAGAGTGGCAGCAGCATCCTTGAACGGAGGAGTGCATTTCTGAATGCCACAATATCTGGAGGAACTTCCCTTCAGCCTCGGTGTGACAGCCTTTGGCAGAACCTGAGAAAAGCAACAGCCAGACAACACACACCAGACACACCCTGACCAGAGGTGGGAGCAGCACCTGCGGAAGGATCTTGCAAGCAGTAAACCAAGTTTTCAGTACAGCAGTACTGGCTCAGGGGGAAATCTCAGAGCTTTAACCTGGATACACTATTCCAAATACATAGCTGGATGCTCCACTATGAATATGAACTTACAGCTATTTAACACTTCATAAATATGTGTTTAGCAGCTGAGATTTTTGATATCCTGTATTTTTATCAAGCTGCCTTCTAAGCCCAAAAGCAAAGATAATGGAGAATCAGCATTAGTTTCTCCAAGGAAAGGCAAAAGAGAACAAGATATATTCTTGTGCATTTGGTATGCATATTTTCGGGAGTTATACAACTTTAGTTTTGCAAGGCAATTTTCTGACAAAAAATTCTTTCACTGACAAACAAATCTGATCTGAAAAATCTTACATCAGCAGGGTTGGTTTGCAGATGTTATTTGTGCCATTTATTTATCAAAAATAACTAGAAAATGTTTTTAAAACATCATTCCAGACTGTACAAATAGGAATGTGACATGGGCTGTCTGTTTTACTTATACTGTTTTACTGCTTCATATTCTGAGCAAACAGAGAGGCTATTTTCCCCAGGGGTTCAGGAGGGCATACTATTTCATTTCTTCAGAAAATTGTTTCTCTGGATTTCAATCTTTTTAGCTAGATATGACAAAATATAATATCAAGAACACTTATGCTTTTTATCAGCTCTATTTTCAAAGCATAAATAATAGATCAGTATATATTTAAGTCAGGTGACCAAGTCTTATTTCTGAAATCAAATAAGCATTTTGCAATTTTTAAATGATGCAGTATATTTTCACTACAGCATCATTATGCCTTTAAAATGCTTTCAAAAGACTAATTTATAAGCATGAAGTGAATTTGAAGATATTTCACTAGTGTTAATAATACCACATTCAGGTAGCATTCAATTTTCTGAATTCTTGGGTTAATGAGGCAAATAAATCAAAATTAAATTGGCCTAGGGAAAAAAAATCAAACAAAAATGCATCTATTAGGTTATACAATCTGAGGCTCCTTCAGTACTGTTCACAATGGCAAACAATATTCCAGCTCTCAGAATCATTACATTTACTCAGAATCAGAGATTAATCTCACAATCTGAGATTTAAAATCAAATAGATCAGACTTCATGACTAGACAAACATAATGCCTTATTATGATGTATCAGGAGTATTCACAAGATGTTGTGCACAGTCTTAGCCAAGTACTTTCCATTAAGTGTCCATAATTTCAGCTGCCTACCACTTCTTCAATAATTCAACTAATTCTTTCCAGGAGAATTTTACCATTGCAACCTGCTAGGTCTTTTCTTTTAAGATATGCCTTAAAAGAAAATACATTCTGCAACCAGGCTATCATTCACCATTTTTTAAAAAGCCCCAAAATCACATAGATCTAGGCAGATAGCTGAAACAAACAAAAATCCTAGCACTTCTGAAAAATAAATACTTCTAGTCATACTGCTATAGTATGAATTGTGGAAAAAATATTATCTTCACCCCTTTCTCTAAAATATGAAAGGAAATATTTTATAGATACTATAAAAAGGATCTACTGTTGGGGAATACCAGTGTTGTCAGCTCTTTTAAAAAAGTGGTTAATAATATACAATACAGAAAACTAAAGAAGCCAAAGTTGTTACCAGAAATAATAAATTCAGCACGAGCAAATAACAATCAACAAATAATGACACGCAACGAGCAGTTGCCATTGTTATCCCCTTATTACTTCTAGTCAAGTAGCAAATGCACTTCCCTACCCAGAGTCACCTACCTGCACAAGGGCAGCCTTGCAGCCTGAGAAACTTTCTAAGAACATGGAGCCCCAGCTGAAAAACAAACTTCCCCACTGAGCTGTCATCACCTGCTGAGTCAGCAGCATAGACTCAAGACTTCCATATATATAGTATTTACTTTTTTTGTTACTTGAAAACACTGAAGAAAAGTAGGTTGGGTGGTTTTTTCCAAAGTAAGTTACTACTGGCTGTTAACATTTAAAATTTAATGACAGTAAAAAAAAAAAAAAAACCAAAAACAACAACTATTTTTTTGCATATTTTAAAGGAATTAAGGGCCCAAATGCCCTTAAGTGGCAGAGGGCAAAAGCAACAAGAAACAAAGCAAAAACGCGTTTGCACATTGTCCTCAGGTAGCACCTTTCTTGTGGCTTTGCAAAACAATTTGTATGGTCAAGAGCTTGCTTAGAAGCAAGTTATATGGTGATCTAATAAATTTGTTTTGATTTTACTCCCCGGGGACAAACAACATCACAATAGCTGCTTGCTAGAAAATAGTGAGCAAAAAGTAGACACCTTTCCATTGCATTAGAAAAGCTTTTAGTTTTATCCATCTATAAGAAGTGCACATGCACAGCAAGTGAGCAACCTCCACAGGCAGAAATTAAAAGACAAAGCCAGCCTAGCAAAAGCACCCCTCTGCTGATGGATGGTTTGGGAGGGAGTGCCTCCATTCAGCTCCTGTTCCACATCAGCCACTGGGCTCAGCTGCCTCCTGTGCCCCAGCATGGCTAAACGGTTCTGGGGACTAGGGGTTTGTTTACATTCTTGACAGCTTAAAGAACGCCATTACAAAAGGTGCTGATTTCAATATAGATCTCAATATAGAACAAAATAAGCACTTCCTCAAGTCCTGAATTGAAGCTCAGTGCCTAACTCTGCCACTCAGCTGCCACTCAGTGCTTGGCTGCTGAGGAGGCAGGTATTTTACATGAGCATGAAGTTCTAATTCAAATTATCCCTTTGAGTTTAGGTTGTGACAGACAAAATTGACAGAGTCACCATCCAATGGTTACTCAATTGCTTGCTCAGAATGACACAGTAATTTTATTCTGATTCTTAGCTCACAGAACAGAAACCACAGCTGCTATCAGTCCTCTCAATGCCTTGTGCTCTTTGGCAAGGAGTACTGATTTGTGTTTCTGTAACACTACCAGGTAGTGGTTGTGCACCATCATTATCCAAATAATTTATAACAAGAAGTGAGAAAGAACATCTGGAAATAAACCAAATGCATCTTGATCTGCTCGGGAAAAGGATGAAACATTGCTGGGGCACCTAAAAAGAGCCTCTTAAATCACGATGTGATGCACGTCTGAGATGCTCTGATGTTCTGAAAGGCACCTAAAAGCATGTAAACTTGCATTATTACCATGCACATAACCAACTCATAAGTATTATCATGGGAGCAACATGAACACAGTGACATGTCAACTGCCTTCAACTGCCTGCAGGATCAGGCTTTGGCCATAAATTAGAATATGAAATTTAGATTACATTAGAACACAACGGAAACTCTTTCAGAAAAAAAAAAAAAAAAATATTGTAAAAGCCAATGGCACCAGATTCCTTTCTACAACTAAAACAATGTTAATTTAAAAGCCGAGATTCATTTGAAAACATTTACCTGTAAATCATCAAGTCCCCAGAGATTAATTTCTGCACTTATGCTATTTGCAAAAAATATTTAACTTAAAGGCATTCCTTTTTTCCTGAAATAATTGCATGCAAGATGAGAACTAAAACACAATCTGAAGTGCAGTAAAGGTAATTGCTGCACTTACTGCTCGTGTCATGTTGATGTATTACTACGTATCAAAGGTCACAGTTCTGTACTCATACATTATCAAATTTGAAAGAGCAATATTCGAATCTGACCAACCTTTAAACTGCCCGGAATCTGTGTGAAAATGGATGCAGGCTAACTTGGATTTAAAAGAAAAAAAAATGAAGCCATGTTTCGGAAGCTGAGGGGTCAATCAAGCCAGACTGACAGGGTTACGTGTCACTTCTGTGCATCTAATACCCTCTTAGATTATCAATGAGGTGCAGTACACTGATCACAAGCTAAAGCAGCTGTGCTAATGAAAATGAAACAGTCTGAAAAAATTAGGTAATACAGGCCTGTGACACAGGGCAGTACCTTGTGGACAATAATGGAGGAATAAGGACATAAATCACCATTTAGATACAATAAAAGCTGCAATACCCACCCTGAAATGTCTATGGAATCGTGGGCCAAAGTCAGCACCTTCACACCTCCACAATTCTCTCTGAAGCTACCACATATTTTCAATCCTGAATTCCTGCCTCTCCTTCAGCACACACAAAATTTTGCAGTCCTGTGCCAGGCTGACCTCTGAGGGTGGAGAGCTGGCTGCTCATGCCATGAGCCAGGAGTTCTCACAATTGGCTGCAGCACAGACAAATGGGTCTTATCAGAAACTACTCAACCTTGAACAACTTTCTTCTCCTACATATGCCAGTCCAACTGGGGGGCAGGGACTGCACTAAAGAGGCTGGGGCCCCTTCATCCTTGTTTGGTAACACATGGGGTCCTCAAAAACACCCAAATAACTACAAAACTCAAGTTGATTAAGTACAGCCAGCACAGAAGGAACTATTAAACAGAATTATCACCTTAAATCATCAATTAAGCGCAGGTAAACAAATAGCTTTTTCATAATCAGTTTTTTCCTCAAAACACTACATACACAGCAAAGAGAGTATATATTCAAATAACAAGCTACACAATTTAATTTCATATGCTTTAAAATTTGCTTCATTTGCTAATAATCAATTTCAAAAGGGGAGCACAAGTTCAAATATTTTCTCAATTACAAGCAGAAAAGCTAAGACAGACATTTCAGGAAGTCTATTAGAGCCTAAGAATTCACACTAATTAATGTTTTTGCCATTGATTTTAATGGAATTTCAACTGCAGGTGATGTATAGTCAAGGCTACATCTAGGATTAGAATGATTAAAGATAATATTTCTGATTAAAGATAATATTTATAGTACATAAACACATATACCCTTTACTAATGCAACAAGGCTATTACAACAACAGCATCTATAAATATTCAGGAACTCCTGTTTAAAAAAAAGCTCAATATACAAAAAAGGCAAGTACAAACATTCCTAAAGAAATATCTTTCACATTTCTTTAAAACATCATTGAAAACAGTTTTCTTAAAATGAATTTTCTTGGTGGTTTTGTAAAATGTTTTTGAGTCAACTGAGCAGAACTCCTTGAAGTGATGCAAGGAATTAGAGGGCAGACCACTTGAGAAGAGCTGGAAGGTCTTTGTTGCTTGAGTTTTCTACAAATCCAGCTTCTCTATTTTCATTGCGGCAGCAAAATGGAGAGAGAAAGAGAGAAAGAATGATTATTTCAATATAAGTTTACAAATTTAGAGATGACTTTGAATTCACAAATGTAACACCCAACATTGTCAGTTCTCCAGTATCTGCACCCCTTGTTTTCTCCTATATCTGATTATCTTGGGATTTTGCTGCACATATTCTTCTCTGGCAGTTGCAATCTCCCTTTTGTAAATTATTTTTTGTCACACAACAAAAGGAGAACACATTATTTCACAGTGGCAAAGGCTTATGAAGCCCTCCTGAAAAACATTAGTAATTGTTCACTGAAAATCCTAGCAGTACAATGCTAGGTACCTACAGTGGCAGTTCTGAAATAGGTTTATTCCCACAGTGACTACTGTGAGAAATAACCAGTATTACAAGACTTGGTCAGGACATCCCCTTCTACCCAAAAATTTAAGTCATGATCAAATTGATTTTATGCAACCTTGAAAGTTATATTATGATACACTGCTTTAGATTTTTCACTGTTGCGAAGTTAAATAATCTATTGAGAATCTTTCAAGTGTTTGCTTTAATCTCAAAACCCCATGGTTTGGGAACAAATTATTGTATAATCAATATATTTCATTTTAAAGCCCTTCTCACTATCCTGCCTATCATATACCTCTCTAGGTCTTATTCTTCATAGAATCACAGAATCGTTATTCTTTCAGAGAAAAGATTGAATGTGACCTGACAAGACCCCAGAGAGGCCCACAAATCAAAAGAAATGGTGAAGTCAAATTCCTTGAGACTCACGATCTTAAGGGACAACTCAATTTCTTATTTTTTTAAATGCTGGGGGGCAGCAGTTCCCATTCTTAAACACCACTGGAGCTTATCCTATTTGTAGTGTAAACAAGCCTCTAGTAAAAACCCAAGGCTAAAATTCCCACCTACTCAGGATGCCATTCTTTTCCTACAAACACCAAGAATCCAAAGCAGGAAGTATGCTGAATTTCAGATTACCAGACAAGCTCAACTAGGAACATTTCTGATGGAAGTTTACAGTTTGTCCTCTGACAGAAACATTGGTGCATGACTACACACCAGGACCTGGAGCCAAAAATCCTATGCCAGTCAAGCCCACCAGCTGTAATTCCTTGCCTTCATCACCTTCCACAAACCTGAGACATATGAATTCCACCTAAAGACCACACCATGGAAGAGAGGAGCACTGCCAAAGACCAGTAATCATTTCACATACATTTTCCTGTCAGTGAATCAAACCTTTCTGACAACCACCAAAAATCTCTGTCACCCATATACTGTTATTAAATACCTTCTTAAGCAATTATAAGAAATCACATGCCATCAATCAAACACAATCCACTGGTCATGGAGCAATCTTCTATTGTCCTCTCATTTTAAATCTAATCCCTCCTGCAAGGCTGCTTGCCCAAATTATTAGGAACTTCCAAATTTACAGTCTTTACTCCTGGAAAACTTACTCTCCTCCTAATATTTATGCACTTCATGCATCTGCAGCCTTTTTTTTTAATTAGCCTGTATTAGGGATATGTTTTCTGTACAGTCTCCTTCAGAGGCTCACTACACCAGAAATCTCAACAGGGTTGCATTTTACCAATTCTAGAAGGGAACTGAAACATGAGATGCTGACATCTGAGGTATTAACTTTCAACCACATGACTGGACAGGAAAGAATCTCTTAATAAAGATTAGGGGGGAAAAAAACGAACTAAACCAAAACCAGTCTGTAAGACATGGAAGGAAATGAAGGCCTAAAGATTTTGCTTGAGAACACTCAGGGAACTGGTCAAATGATTGTTTGCCAAAGACACAAAATGAATCTTCAAGGTTATTGTCTAGTGCAGCATTCACAGACAGGACATCCCTTACCCCACTAACAGTTTTCCTCATAGTAGAATACCTAACAAAACCTCACTCCAGAAGCAGAATGAATAAGGAGAAGCAACTCATTTAAAACTTTCTTTACATCCAGTACTCTTGTACTGAATGTGCTTGGACTTCACAAAAATTAAAGACTTCTTAAGTTTTTAATAGCAGACTTAGCTATTGAACAATGAAAGTTTCCTCTAGCCTACCCACTCCTCCAGCACCACAAAACCACAAGTGCACAAACATTACTAAGTTCAGAACCATGAACCAACAAAGAAGTGTTTTTCCTAGCCTCTGAAGGTTAAAAAACTTCTTAAGTCTCTCATAATAGCTAGACAGCTTTTTCCTACCAAATTATTGTCATATGCTTATTCTGGAATTAACTAAAAAGCAAACAAAATTCTCCAATAAGATTCCTTGTCAATTCCATCCTTATTATTTCTGACATAGGAACATGGTAATATCCTGAGTTAGGTACTGCCATGTGCAAACAGCCAAATCCTACTACATTTTCTGAAAAAAATCTCTTCAAGCTCATCTTTTTTATCTCTTGATTAAGACTTCATTCTAAAAGAAAAAAAAAAAAAAATCCCTTCTCTCCCCCAGCTGTTTCACTCCATCATTAAGTCCTTCCATTGGCTTCTACTCATGCAGCACATGGGGTTCAATGTTCTTGACTTCAAGGCAACGACACTCACCCTTAGTTACTTGCTTTTGATAATCTCTAGACCATTCCTAAACCATCAACTTTTGCATTACCTTCATTTTCCATTCCTTGGGAGCTTCTCTCTCCTGCATGGAGGCTAAACAGATTTCTTGAGAAATCACCATACCAAGATTACATTTAATGTTTTAATTCAAAATGTCCAAGGAAAATCAATTGTGCTCTCCTTTAGAAGAAGTACTAGAATTTGAAATACTATTGCCTTTTTTAACTCACTTCTAAAGTAAAATGTAAATCTGACCGCCTCATTTCAATTTGTTCTGAACTAGAACACTGATTTGTCTTTTGTGACAGTTTTTACACAGCCAAGATAACTCCTCCCCAATTTATAAACTATAAGTGAATAAAGAACACTTCTACAGTTATTCACAATATTCCAGAGTCAATAAAAACACTACATCAACAAGCTTGCTAAGTATTACTTCATTACTCCACTTAAATTTGCTTTTCATCCTGGCCAGAAAGAAAGGGTGCTCCTATGACATTGCAGAAGCCTAGTCCTGTGAGAAATCTCAGTACTTCTGAAAAAATTGAGATTTGAGTACATGCCAAGAAGGCAGAAGACAACAAAACGTGGAATATATTTCTTTAATTTTTTCCCTCTACTTTCTTCCATTTCCTCATTCTTAAGAGTCAAACTGCAACTGGATTAAATATGACAACTGCTGTACTTTTTTTTGTCTAAATACTCCTACTTCCAAGGTTTTTTTTGGTGTTACAAAGACATGACTAAGTGTGGTTACTGCTGTTCATTTACAGGTATTTTTGGATTCAATTCCTGTTGGACAGGTGCCTTTTACTATTGCCACAGTTATAGTACCCAGAAGCCAAGGAGCAACTGCTGCAGAAACAGAATCCTCTTCCCATATTCATATCAGGACCGGGCACCCACACTTGGCAGGAGAAACATGTGAATGCTTACTGTAAAATGAGAAAAGCTCAGTCCATAACGGTCACATGCATCATCATGAGCCTGAATTCACCCACAGATTAACCTTGTGCCCTCATTTACTAGAGCTGCTCTAAAACCCTGAAAAATTAAAAAGTTAAAAATAGATTTTTCCTCTACCAAAATTGTAGGACATCCCTTACATAATCTTCAAGGCTTCTGAAGCAGTTCATGAAAAGGACTGCTCACACACTTTTTTAAAGTATGAAAGTCTTTTAGGACAATTCTATCATGCACTTAAAACAGAGCTAAGTCCTCCTGTGCTCAAAGGTTGTAGGTATTTTTAGTCACAAAGCAGGTTTTCACATTCTAAAAATTATTTGTTTTCACATCAGGTTGACTGTCTCTACTTGGTATATTTGATATATTCAGTGATATATTAAACAAAAAGTACCAATCACTTCTGTGGAAAGTTTCACACGTCACATTTAAGACTCTTGGGAGAAATAATTCCCCACCCCAACCCCTCCAAATACTAAGGCTCCTTTTTCAAAAAAAAGTTCATATTCCCAAAATCATAAGAAACATCAGTTTCTTTGGCAAAAGTAGGATATGTGAAAATATACATGTCCCAGGCTAATGAAAACATTTTTAATGTGTAGGTACAGTATCAACAGTTTTCTCAGTCAATTATATAGATACTACATGCATTACAGCTCAGCCACTGCTTATGATGGAAAGGACCTGAAATTACTCTAGGAAAGACCAGACACTTCAGATGCACACTTTTAAAAGGAAGTAATATCTGTGCCTAGAGTAACCTCAAGTTCTGAACTGACAGAAATTCATGCCTTCATCTCCCATATGATGGATCATTATATCAAATTTTACTTCTTTTTAGCACTTATAATGTAAGTACATCCAACAATTTACTGTGCTGAATTACTCACATGGTCTGTGATTTTTTTCTCTCAAAAGAAATAAGCCTTTAAGCAGATAAATCAGTGAGGCACAAAATGCAGTGTAGAGATTAGCAACTTACAAAACAATAAGCAAGCTTTGCCACTTCTCAGGCAAAATTGTTTCCATTTTAAATAAATTCTGTAATCTAAAATATATTCTCTAAAAAGTTAATTCCACTACCACTTTGTACCCTGTATTTTTCTCATAGTGTGAGACACATCCTGAAAAGGGACTGTTTTCTTTGTATTCACAACTGAGACAGTCACACATAAAATGCCTATTTATTTGCTAATTTTTCATGTAAATATAGACAAACACCTATGAGTCCTCCTTTAATCACATGCCTACATTCTATTAAGACTACTAATTAAAATATTAATTGCAATTAACATAGTGAAACAGAAAAAAAATTCCTTCTTAATCTAAATACAGAATACACTTGATTCTGACTGATGCAAGGCTGAGCTTCTAAACTATCCCCAAAGAATCAGAAAACAAAGCATGTAGTTGAGAAAGAAAATTAATCCTTGTTCTTCATGCAATAATTATGTCTTGCATAAAGACATGGATACTAAGGTCACATTCAGAAACATGCTTTTCTTGTAGAGGACTCTCATACTACTAAGATTGAGGGGTTTTATTGCATTTACAGTGTAAAAACCATTTCCCTTTGGAAGTAAGACATTAGATTAAAAATGGTTTTGAAATTTGCCTCTCCCTGTAGTGAGGTACACAACACTGCACAAAATACAACTTTTATCGTAAATACTACTAAATCAACCAAGTCACATATGTTCAGCATTTATTTATAAAAAAAAAAATCTGATTGACTTAGGTACCTCACAGACACCAGAAAACTTCTAATCCAGGATCCCAGCTGTTACATTCAACAGGAAATGTGTGACAAGTGTCCTTAGCTTAAAAAGCAACGCAATAAAAAAAACTACATTTTCAGTAATCCAGCAGCAAATATTCATTGCAATTGTAACATTAAATAGTATCAACTAGCTTTAGGTACAGTTAGAAAAGCCTTTTGGCAAATGCACATGCGCTTCCCCTTTTCATCAGGGATCTACTTCTATTCTATCAAAGTCACCTCAGCTACAAATAGACATGCTCCTTTAAAGGTGGCACATTCCTGCTGAACTTGCACAAAGTAACTGTAGAATAGCTGCATACAGCAGAACATGAATTCTCTTCAGTTTTAGGAATCACAAAGCAAGTCTTGCTGCTAGATGTCTTTATTTTCCTTTAACAAAATACACAAAGGCACAAAATTCACTTATATCTTGTCATTATAGTACAGGTATAAATAGTGCTTTGTATTCAAGTACAATCAAGTGCAGAGACTTCTTATATTTTATGTAAACACAAAACAGTTTTGCATGTAGGTGCCTCTGGTTCATCTGCAACGCAAACACCAAAGGAGATGCCATTTATCCAAGTGCCACTTAACTGAATTCTGTCAAGAAGTTAGACAATAATATTAACACCACTGCATTGACACTTCTATATGCTTAAGTCAAATGTCAGATGACACTTTAGCTTGTAAACATCTGTGTATTAAACATGTACTGAATCCATTTTAACAGGGCAGCATTAGAAAGCATCTTAAGTTCACTAGACCAAACTTACTAGGTCAATTGCTATCAGTAATTGCTCTTAATGTGTGACAGCTAAAGAGATGTCAAATTTTAAGTCACCCCTAGCAAAGCTTGTACTTCGAAGTTTTTGAATATGCAAACTGAACAAGGGCTACAACTGTTAGACTTCAACCAACTACACATTCCATGTGTTAACTTAAAGAGACATGCTTAATTTACAATACCCACTTCTACACATAGCTTTCACACTGTGGCAGTTGAGGCGGTTTAAGCCCAAGCAAGATTTTTAAGTTGTACCATTAAAAAAAGCTCACCTGAATAGTAACAACAGGCATGAACAAAGCTAAAAACTAGCTACAGAAGGCACTTGAAGTATTTTATTCTGCTTTTATTAAAGATTCTTCACTTTGTTCAGCTGAAGCAGACTCTGAAATAGCCTCTTCAGTTGTTGAAATGTTTTCTGCTTCTTCTTTTTCAACTTCTTCAGCTAGCTTATCATTTAGATGTTCGGAACTTGGTGCTTTATCATCTGTGTCATTTGTCTCAACGAGCTGGGCTCCATCATCTTCAGATTCTGTGAAAAGAAAAATTACAAAATAGCCATTTCCAGAAATTAAGAGGCAGCTAATATTCTTAAAAAGCAAATGAAACATTCTGCAATTGCGTACAGGTTTTGACTGGTAACTGCATGATTTTCTCAACCCACAAAAACTTTGTTTTACCTGTCACTATCTTAGCAAAATCAATTAAAATTTAAGGGGGAAAAAATACTATGGAAAAGAGCATAGCTCCTGCTAAGAAAATACTATGTATTACTTGCATATGTTCATCCTCAACAGACGCCTTCTAAGCTTGTTTACTAAAGTGAGATGTTAAAAACACATGATGGCAATTCAGTTTCTCTGTCTTGGGTAATGTCAGTTTCACCAAATGTTGAACTTTTTTTTTTATAAGGGTTCAATCAGTACACAAACAAAAACATTCTTCTTGATGGAAACTACTTTATACATAAGGAGTCTGATAAGCAGAGAAAAAACCCAAACAAATATATCAAACCAGTCAATGAAAATTATTACATATTCTGTCTTCCCAGGCGTAGTGTAGGAAGGTTGCACAGGAGTGAGTATACTCTTTATCCAGGGTGGGAGTTTCTTTGATAACCAGCATATTTTTAAGATCAAAAACATTTTAAGTACTGCCTCTAAAAAAGTATATTCTAGCTTCACAACAGGACTTCAGTAGCATATGAGAAGTAAGAATCATATTTTGAAGTAAGCATAAGCACTGAAAAACTGAACATAGTGTTGCACTAAATGACACAAAGGTACTGTAGAATGGTATTGCTGATGGCGGTTGATTTATTGACTAGTATTACTCAATAACACAGTACTAATGTATACTGTGAAGGGGAACAGTGTGCAAAATCGATGCAAAGTTACAGCTCAAAAACTTAGCCTTATCAAATGTTTCTAACTTTATAGAGTGGTTTGGGTTAGAAGCAACCTTAAAGGTCAACCTAATTCCAACCTTCCCCTGGACCAAGTTGCTCAAAGCCCCATCCAACTGGGCCTTGAAAACTTCCAGGGATGGGGCAGCCACAGCTTCTCTGGGCAGCCTGTTATAGTGTCTCATCCCTCCTCACAGTGAAAAATTTCTTCCCAGTACCTAATGTAAAGCTACTCCTTCAGTTCCTACCCATTCTGCCTTGTCCTATCACTATATGCCCTTGTATAATGTCCCTCTCCAGCTTTCTTGAGGCCCCTCTAGATCCTGGAAGGCACTCTATGGTCTCCCCCAAAGCCTCCTCTTCTTCAGGCTGTACAGCTCCAATCCTCTCAGCCTGTCATCACAGAACAGGTGCTCCAGCCCTCTGACCGTGTGTGTGGCCCTCCTCCAGACTTGCTCCAAAAGGAGAATGTCCTTCTTCTGCCAGGGGTCTGTTGTGGTTTAACCCAGCCTGCAACTGGGTCGCAGACCAGACTTGCTTACTCCCCAGCCATCCTCCTGCCACCCTGGTGCAATGGGCAGGGGAATCTCAATAAAAGTTAAACCCCTAGGTTAAAATTAGAGCAGCCTAATAATTCAACATATTAAGATAGTAATGACTACAACAAAAATAATTGTATCAAAGCGGGGGCGGGGGGGGGGGGGGGGGGGAAGGAAGAGAAAGGAAAAAAATTAAACATATTGGATGCCAAATACAATGGCAGGACGTGGTTGGCTTTCTGGGCTGCAATCACACGTTGCCAGGTCATGCTGAGATTCTTGCCAACCAATATCCTCACATCCTTCTCCTCAGGGCTGCTCTCAATTCATTCTCAGATCAGCCTGCACTTGTGCTTGGGATTGCCTTGGGATCCAGATGCAGGACCTTAGACATGGCCTTGCTGAACTTCATGAGGTTCACAGTCCCACCTCTCAAGGTCCTTTTGGATGGAATCCCTGCCCTGCACCACACAGCTCAGCATCATCAGCAAACCTGCTGAAGGTGTGCTTAAGCCCACTGTCCATGTTCCTGACAAAGATGTCAAGCAGCACTGGTCCCAATACCAACCTCTCAGAAAAACAGTGTCAGTCAAATGCCACATGTTCATGTTGATCAAAATATGTTGGGTAAAAGTCTGAAAGTAATCAGACTGGCTCAGGCTGATAAAGAATTCAAGCAGAGCTGAAAGTTTTAGAACCATTGCTCTGGCTTCTTGGCCCATTACTGAGAAGAGCTGTTGCACACCCCTCTCCAGCAGACCTTGTACAAAAGCATCTGTCATCAAGAACTGAAGACCCCTCTTTCCACACAAACCTCTACCTAGCTAGTTCCAGTCTTCATTTCGGACTGCTTAGAGCAGCCCAGCTTCTCCATCCTTTCCTCAGACTTGATTTTTCATTTTAGCAAGTCTGTAGCTGACTCACCTCCTGAGTCTTTCCCTGCTCTCTTAACCACAGGTTGCTCAACACCTGCCCTGGCTTCTAGTTACAAAATTTTTCAACCTTCCTATTTCTGCCCAAGCAAATTAATGTTCCCAGTTATTTTCCAGGCCATCCCACTCTCTCCTCCTGCTACTTAATTTTCATTTTTATCCCATCTCTGTCTGTGCTCAATCTTTATCTCTCAACTGTCAGTTTTCTTTCTGTCTCATCTCTGCATGTTTTCTTCAGCCTCGAATTCTATGAATAAGTTCATGCATTTTCCTGCTCCAATCCTTCCACACTTGAGTTACACTCCTTTGACTCAAGCCTGAAGACCAGCAGTAAAGAAAGTAAAGAGACTGTTTGCTCAGTCTGATCAGAAGGACGCCAAGCATCTACAACATTTTTGATGTAAAACCCAGGGACAATCACAGCCATCAGCAGAAGCTTCTAATGGAAAGGAGAAAACCTGAAGAAATGCATATTCTAACTATATTCAAATTAACAGGATGGTGCTTTCATTTTTATATTGTACTAAAAGGTATGGAGACACTGCTTATTTAAACAAAAATTGTTAGGTAGTTCATAACTTTTCCCTTCACTGTGTTCTTGGGTAAACTAATTCAAACTCTTGAAACTCCAGAATATATAGTAGTACAGATTTACATGGAAAATTTTGATCTTGTAACTCAGTCTGAGAAAGTTACAAGAAACTAAAGAGTAGATCCCTTAAATGAGTAGCCAGGGCATTCAGACTAAGTGATGCTAACTCCAACCACAAACATGATCAGTCTTCATTAAAAATATATAGCAATTCCATTTTAAACACAGCAATTACTGGAAAGCTTGCCTAAAGTCAACCTGATTTAAATAGTGCATGAATAAAGCCTTTATAAGAGCAGCAGCCAACAAGGGAAAGTTCTGACAATAAACTTCAAAAGATGACAAAAGAAAATTTAAGTGTTCTTGATGAGGAATACTTAATTCATCATTTAACCAAAGAATGTAGCTTCACCCACATGATCTTAACAGCAAACACAGCTCTACTCTTGCTGCATATTTAAGAGCTCCAACAATGCAACCCTAAAAAACCTGCTCCTGGCTACAGCAGCTTTCTCCCCCAACATACCTGCTTAATGCTTAGTACTTAGAAAGCATAGGCACTTCACACTGTAAGAAGTCAGCCACCCTTGCTCTTGTTGCAGAGAGTATATCACTGAGTAACCAGTGAAATCATAATACTGCATCACTATTAAATTAAGTAGAAAATATCTATTAAGTGGGAATTCATAAGAATTGTGTAATTGCTCTAAAATAAAGCTGCTTGTGCTTTCAAGCAGCTTTGGGACAAGTTTTATTCATTACTACAGCTCCCCTTTAAGACAGTTTTTCACATAGTACCACATCTATAGTGTCTTTAAAGAACACGTGTCTCACAATAATCTGTTAATGGCTTTGGTGTCACAGAAAGCTATTGTGAAGCCTTTGAAACAAGTCAGATAACAGCACAGCATTCCCTCTACCCTTTATGTCCTACCAAAAAGGCAACTTATGTTGTTCAGCAAAACTGAACCATGGTTGACTGGAAGCATAATACATTTTTAAATCAAAAGAACTTGTTTACAAGTTATTAAAGGCAAGGAGAACTGACTTGTGTCTGCTTGAGAAATTGAATTTCTAGACATATTAGTCCTTTGTCTTCCATCAGTTTTATTCCTAGAAAAGGTTTCTGCAACACTTGCCCCAAGGCCAGCACCATTTATGGTAGAACTCACACTGAGCACACATTTGAAATGTCATTATTTCTGGCAGAGACCATTACTGTGACCCCTTCAGTTGCACAAGCCAACTTTCTGCACCTGCCTTTATAATGGAAACCCTTTCAAACACACTAGCATTTGCTGTATTCCAAGAATCCTTACAAGTGACAGTATTAAATAATCATAAAAATATTTGAGCAAGATGGTCAAGGAATTCCATACAAATCTAGAGACATCACAAAGTAGTCCATGATGTGCTGACCACTGTGGAGAAGTCTGAAGTTCAAATCTTCATCTAATGAACACCTCTAAATATCAGCACCAGACCTTCAACACAAAAGACTGATGTAGTTAATTTTTTTTCAAATTTGTTTCAAAATACTGTGAAATGCTGAACTTGAATCAAGAATACAGCATAACAGTACTAAATAAAGGCAAGGCAAAATTAATCAAGAGGCTAAAAGTACTTCCTGTTGGCTCTTTCAATATGATCCAAACATTGATACATTTAAGATAAGTACATAAAAGAACCAACTAGTCTTTGATGGGAGGAGGAGGGGATCAAAATTAAGCTATTTTATAGGAAAGGTAAGAAAAGAGCTGAAGTTTATTGCTTCACTCTGGTACTAAAATTTCCTAAATTAATCCGCCGAATAAGGAAGCATGATGTTTGTGGCAGCAGTCTGCACCAGACTGACAGCTGATTACTCCATTTTCCAGAGGTTTAAAACAAAATTCCAAGGTTCAGTGCCAATGGCACTCCCCATAAGCATTCTTCAGATCTCTTATCCACAGGAGTTGCATGTAACATGCTTGTCACTACATGAGCACACAACTGGAAAAAAAGATTCAGCTTCATGCTCTACTCATTAGCTAAAATAGCTGACTGGTAAAAAAAAAAATTATAGCATCTCTTTATCACATTATTTTGCCAATCCTTGAGCTATACAGCTGTGGTATAAATGAATTTCAGATAAGAGTTGTACTCCCCTGTGTTGCCAGCATTGGGGCTGAAGTTGGTTTCCTGATGTTAATGTTTGTCTACATCTGTAAGTGAAGATATATTCTCTATTCTTGCTATGACAGCAGCTATTTTACTGTGGTGAACAAAAAACTTCCCTAGAGCTCTACCTTAATGATAGCTTCATACCTTAAAACTTCCAATCAAGGAATGTGTTCATTTATTAATAAAACCCAACTGCATGTAAGCAGTTATGTTTCATATTACAGTTCCAGTGGAAAAAGTGATTTAGTGAAAATATTTTTTCATTCTGAAGAAATTCTTTTGTGGCAAGTCACAGGCAGGCACTGGCCTCCTCTAAATCAACAAGACATTTCTCAGAGCTATGTGAAGTACTAAGATATACTCTATTTCTGGCTGCTTAGTAATTATCAAAACAGAATGGTTTGTATCATCTTGGAGAATAAATATTCAGAAAATATCTGCTATTTAACACTGAAAACCAAATGTCTGTATACCACATACATATTTCTTATGCTTCTTCTGAAAAGTCTTACCATATACTTCCTATCAGACAAAAGACAATGATGCTCACAGCTGTTTCTTTTCCTGCTGTTTTTAAATAAAGCAGTACATTAATACAAGACCACATCAGAAAAGAAAAAGTAATTTTCATTGTTAAAGATAAATTGGTAAAATCATATTTACTGCAATAAATCCATTCTATTTTTCTGCTGAAATGTTTGATAAAATTCTGCTTACATGAAAAGCAACTTATCTCACAGTTTTCATTCCTACATCTGAAATGGTTAATTGCAATCTTACAGTAATTCTTCAAATTTTACATTTTTTACAACATCTATAGACTGACTCAGCAGCTCAGACCCATTATAGGCAGAGGTTCATAATAATTTATTTTAATGATAATCCCATTTTAATTAGCAAGCACATCTCCTTACCTCTCTCTAAAAACCTGAAGCAATGGATAATATTCAAAAATCAGCGAGGCACATACCTCCAAGAGTTGAGTATCCCTCTTGTAGGACCTCTCTACTTGAGTCAGACAGAAGAAAACAAGCACACTCTTAAAGATCCCAGTAACAAAGTATGCCTTTTCCTGTAAGAATCTTCTGAGTTCAAAAGTCCAAGAAGTTACCCTCCCCTTGCTAAAAAAATGACACTGGGATTTAAGGGCAAATGATGTATTTTCATTGTCTCAGTTTCATCCATTTGATTTCAGTCTTACTTTCATGCCAATAACAGCACTTTTACTGAGATAAAAGTGCACTATGGTACAGGAAAAGAAAGCAAGTTTTCACTACAATGCACCGTCATGAGACCATGCCCAGAGACTGCCACCATTAAACATGACTTCCCTACTGGTTTTGTGCAGCCTTCTCATGCCAGAAAGTACTGCCTAATGTTATTTTCTACTCCCCATTAAAAAAAAAAAAAAAAATCAAGCAGAATCACTTTATTACACTCTGACAGTTTCCCACAGTTGGTGTGTTTCCAGCCTGAACCTCAGGGCTGCACACTATCTGATAGTTTTCCTCCAGGATCCCTGCTTAAACTAAAGTCCCATCAAGCACTAAACAGCACATCTAACTGGAGATCCTCTGGTCTGAAATTATGATTTCTGGAGGTTTTTAAAACACCGCATCTTCCTGTTGGCTGTGCACCAGATGCCTACTGTATCTGTAGACTATAAAATGTCTCAAAAGGAACTATGTTAAATTAAAATTGACAATTTGTCTTTGAACTACCTGAAATTAAACAAGGCATTTTTACTAGATTTTCCTGCCCTGAGGAAAAGAGCAAAAGGAACAAAGGCAGAAATTCCAACACACCTCAATCAAATGACCTGCCAAGCACAGTGAAAGTTAACTACTTTGGGACATACTCCCTCCTTAACTATTTCTGTAATTTACAGTGCCTTTTCTATCCGTTTGTCAGTAACATTAGGGTGAAAAAATTTGTTATGCCATCATTTGCACAAGATAATGACAAATATGAAGAAATTTTAGGGTACAGGAAAGAAGATGCTACTACCAACAACTTAAGCTAGGAGCAGAGACAAGAACTGAAAAAAATACATAAACTGCACTTGTTAAGAAGTCAGAATAAATTGTACTATTTCAATTAGAATGGACCAACAACAATCATCTAGACCAACTGCCTACCCAACTGGGGGCTGATCAAAAGCTAAAGCATGTTAAGGGCATTGACCAAATGCCTTTAACACTGACAGACTTTGGTCACTGATCACCTCACAAGGAACCCTGCTGGAGCAGTGCGAGTATTTCAGCTGCTCATTCTTACGAGAAAACTTAGCTCAACAGAGAGTTAGATGACAGTGAATTTCATTAGACATTTGGAAAAGAGCAGACTTCATGAGGTTAGTACTTACCTTTTGTCTGTTGAGTCTCCTGGGGCTTTCTCTCTCTAGGTTCTAGAGGCTCAGTTTCAGATCGCAATTCTGTAGTTTGCCTTTTTTCAAAACTGAAGTCTGGAAGTCGTGGAGCTTGAGGTCTAGTTTTTCTTGCAGGATTCAGGAAGAAGCAGTAGGCACATCTAAATGCTACACCACAAAGCACACCCAGTAAGCAGCCTCACTAATTAACTTCACATTTCACCTTTATTCCTACACTACATTCTAATGGTTTAAAATACTAAAACCAGAGTTAACTGACTATCAGTATCAGACAGCACCTCCACCAAATTTACGTAAGTTGTTCTATATAAGTCCTTTTTTAAATTCAGCAGACATTTGGTTTTCACAAACCTGCTTGCTTTCAACTCTGCTGAGTACTGCCCAACACTGTGAAAGATTTGACCACAATGAACAAAATAATGCAATTCAGCAGGACCAGATGTTGCCACATGGTGTTGTTCTATTCTTTCCTACAAAAGAATTAAGCTGGCAGATTATTTTTTCCCCTACCCTTAAGACACCACCTTCCTCACTCTCTGATGTTAGGAAGTGTCAGGAGATGTTAGGAATTCCACAAGGAATGTCTCCCTGCTTTCTGAGGAGCACTCTGCTCCAGTGGTGCTTAATTAAGAAAAAGTAGTTTTGTTTTGCAGAAATACTGGATACCATTTAATACTTTAAATAACTCTTTTTGTCCTCCCCACTCTCACCAAGACAAGGGGGGAAGTGGCAATTTCTGGTACAGTTGAGTTGTGAACTCAGAAGAACTAAGATAACATATAGACTACTTATCTTTCGTTTCATAGGAAACATTTAGCTTATTCTTACAATGCAGTATATTTACTCATAAAAATAAACAAAACAAAATGAAATAGAAGATTTATCTAGGAATCCCTAGTTTCTCAACTATCAGGCTTACACTTGTGGTAGAAAGCAGGCAATATACAACATCTGTGTCCAATAAAGGGCTGTGTCTGTCTTAAGTTATTGTCAGCCATAAATTCACATATAGGCCCCTAGGGCTTGTTCCCACTCTTTTTCCAATACGTCCCCAAGATCTTCTTGCCAAAGGGAATTTAGTTTAAATTCTGGTAAAAGAGGCACACTTTAATGTCAGATAGTTTCTCAACATAAAACCCTTCTGAGAACCATTCATAGCCAGTAGCAATGTTCAGGGATGTATTGGAGGAAGCTTATTTCTACTGAATAGTTTTCTACACATAAAATCCACGACCTGAAGGTTGCAATAAAGTCCTTCTCTAAGTCTTGAAGTAAATCTTAAAAAACAGAGTAATAAGTTACCAAAAAATGTTCCCACATGAAGCAGTACTTCACAATGTCTGCTAAGTACTCAGCTGCAACCAAAATGAAGTATGATGCATTTGTTATGAAACATAAGCCAACTAATAGAGTCTAAAAAATATCTTAGCTCTTACCTACGTATTCAAACTCCTCCTTCAAAGCCATACCATTGTGAGAAAAACATTGCTGACATATAAGGGCATACCTAGAAAACATGAATAATATATAGTAGCATGAGCACAGATCTTTCTTTGTATCACACAGCTAATATTACTCAGAACAGAGGTTAGGTTTGCCCAAATATTACCGGTTTCCCTGCAGAGGTATTTCAAGTGAAACATTGAGAAACAGCCATTTCTCAAGTATGAAAATTTTGGACAAATTAATTTACAATTCTTTTAACCCTGACATGGCTTAAACAAAAAGGTTAAGAAGCTTCCTTTCCCCTAAGTGTTTAGGTATTTCTTAAAGAACATTTTACCTGTTCTGAGGACCATCACCAACCAAATATTCAATCACTCTATCCACAACTCCTCTTTCTCGAGGAAGAACAGGTCTTGCCAAAGGAGGTCCTGGAGGATGAAGACCTAGAACATGAATTATATAAAAATTATTTTTCACTGTATAAATATGCATTATACTTTATTGTGTGGGCTAGTGTAACAAAATAATTACATCTACTTAATATACATGGGTATATTTCTTAGTCTACTAAGAAAGCTGTAAGATTCTTCAACCCACAATAGTTCAAAATTCTTCTGCTGCTCCTTTAGCTTATAATTTTATTAAATCGCTCAATTTTTACACCTTGGACATGTAATTAAATTTATAATTTCTAAAGAACTTAATATATCAATAGTATTTGATTGTCGACAAATAGAGGCTTTTTAAGAAAGAACAACTTAACTTAGTTGTCTTCATATACACTTAACTCTGCAGATTTACCCTTGTAGTTTACACCAATAAATCTACCAAAATCAATGGCAACAGTAGAAGAACTAGAGATCAGGGCCATCTGCTGTGCTGGAAGGTGTCCTGTCCATGGCATAGAGGTTTCAAAGAGATTATCTTTAAGATCCCTTAAAATCCAAACCATTCTATGATTTTATGAAGATGTCACCACAGAAACACCCCCTGGTTTCTGTGTAATTACTATACCACATGAGCATGCCCTTAGTGTGCATTGAGTCTATACATTAAACCTGTCCAGCACAAGTCATTTTGGTAATCCACATTTAAGGATAAGTTGCATGCATTCAGATTTATGCTTAATCGAAGACAGAAGGCCACTATAAAGATACTCTTTCCCCCATGTATTTAACAAACTACTACCAAAATGAACTCCTTAAAGAGCATGTAAGAGCCATGGTTGGTTCTTTTTCACCCTTACATACAGCAGTTAAACCAGAACACCAGCACAAGTTTCTCTTTCCACAAAATTTTAAAACATCTAGTCCGTTGTACAAGACCACTGTAAACTACCAATTTCCATTTATATTGCTTTGAGTTCTGATGTCTACTTTCTTTTGCAGCCTTAAAACAGAAAAAGCTAGGCCTAATGTAAGAAACTCCAGTCTGAGCCATTCCAAAGCGACCATTCAAGTAACTAAGTATGGAGAGGAAACATTTTACATTTAAGCACCGGAAGTATCATGTTAGAGTACTTCCAACAAACAGTCCTGAGTGTAAGATAATGCAGCACCTGGGGGAAGAGAGGGGAACACTTAAAACCTATTCCCATAAGACCTTTATGAATTACATTCAAAGTCTACAAAACTAACTAAACAATGTTTGAGTAGGACAATAAACCTGTCCTTCAGAACTCTCCAACTGGGACAAAATGGTTCAGCTTCAAGCCACTTCAAGACAAAATTGTGACACCTGACAAATAAGACTTGGTTTAAACCATTGACAAAATTACTTTTAAAAATGCAAAAGTCCTATGCAAGCGCAAGATAGCTAAGAAGGTTAGACAAAAAAATAAATCAGCGAGTATTAGCAGGTTTCATACAGAGATGAGCATATGGCAACCTGAAACCCTGTATGAACTAAGTATATGTAATTCATGGAAATGAAATACTGAAGGTGCAAAAAGAGACCAGTGTTTTCCGTGAGAAGAGTTCTGGCTTGTAACTATTCTCACTCTGTCCAGTAAAAGAAATATAGAAACATCACGGCTTAAAAGAAAGCCTTTAGTGACTACAGAAGCTACAGAAGTCAGCCAACAATTCTTTTTTAAATTTGCTGTATGTTTCCAGTATTCTTCTTGAGGTACGTTTCACAGAATCCCTCATAATGACCAATAAACAAAGAGGAAGCTAAAGGGTAACACAAACTAAAATCACTATCTCAATATACAAAAGTAAAACAGATTAAATACACTGTCTAAAAATGCAAAATAGGATTTTTTAAAGATCCAAACAAAGGACAACTAAGAGAGTTTGTTAGTATATTGAATTAATTCAGAAGGACATTTAATTGAAAGATATTGTGCTAAAAACAACTGACTTCAAACTTCTCAGGGTTGTTTAGATTTCGTTTTCTTACAGCAACTTAGCCAGGGACAGAATCAGGACATGCACAGCCCTAGCTTCCAGCACCTAGATAAACATACACATAGAAGTAACATGTACCTCCTAAGCAGAGTACTCACAGAATATGGGAGTAGGAAGGGACCCATCTCGATCATTGAGTCCAGTTCCTGGCCCTACACAGGACACCCCAAAAATCACACCATCTACCTCAGAGCACAGTCCAAACGCTTCTTGGACTCCGTCAGGTTTGGTGCTGTGACCATTTCCACGGGGAGCCCGTGCCAGGGCTCTGGGTGAAAAAACTTTCCCTGATACCCAAGCTAAACCTCCCCACCTCAGCTTTGTGCCATTTCTTTGGGCCCTGTCACTGGCCACCAGAGTGAAGAGATCAGTGCCCCGCTGCGTCCCCTCACGAGGCTGTTGAAAGATCACAGTGAAGTCTCCCCTCTCCTCTTCTTCAGGCTGAACAAATCAAGTATCTCAGCCACTCCTTGTAAATCTTCAACTCCAGACCAGGAGGCAAAGACAGCACAGCAAGCCTTACTATTCAATAACCTAATCCAAGATGGGCTTCATGTTTACATTGCACTAAAAGTAACTGTGAGCAAATTACCATTTCAAGCCTCCTACCTTTTAATCTACACAGACAGAAGCAACAAAGGAAAAAGTAACTAAGGACAGAATGTACTAATTTGTGGTAAATCTCATGCTCAATGCCACATACAGCTAACTTCCATCCTCTATAGCACATGTTAAACCTTGTAGGAATAAAATATTTTCAGCAATACCCTCTTGTAGTGCTACACACAGAACAAGACTAATCTTGACATTAAGGCTGTACTATTTCTAGCAGCACATCTTTCAAGACACATCTTGTCAATACTGGATATTTGACCTAAACGGACTGTCCTAATCTTTAGGAGAACATGAAAACTCATTCAGAAAATACTGCAATTTACAACCCATCAGTTAAGTACAAAAAAAAAATCCATACTCAACACAAATATTTTTTAAAATAGGCCTTACTTTCACAAACAAGAAAAATTAATTCAGGAGATAAGAATCAGTGAATGCATTTCCAAGTTATCCCTGTATTCTGTCAACAAGTAGGAACCTAGAGCAAGAAAACTGTCCCAGCAGCAAGACAGAATAATTTCTGTGCAATATAAACTGTATTCTGCTAAAGCTGTCCAAAGTAGAGGTCAGGCAAAATTCATTTCCTAGAGCTTTACAAAAACCTGAAAGATCCAATACTTCCATCAAAAAAGGCTGGTACAATCTGCAATAAAATTAAAGCCCTAGAATAATTTTGTAAATACCTGGTTTACACTCAAATGTTAACTAGGCCTTTATTCAGAAGACCAAGTTTTCATATAACTTGCAAATCACCAATATATGAAGCTTCCAAAAGTCAATAACCAAAGCAAAAATTAAATAAAGTAGAATGAAACATCACAACACATTCCAACAACAACCTCAATTACCCGCCTACTAATAACTCAAACCATCTTGGTTCTCATGCTGTTATGGACACTAGTAATTAATATAAACATCAAAAGCAATCATTGCAGAAAGACTGGTCATTTTTGCAAAGCTTGGCAAACTCTCAAGTACCTGCTGGTTATTAATCTTCAAACATATGGGAGCTCTGTGGTAATACACGTTAAATTGATTCCCCCCTACAAAATATAGTATAACAAAAATGAATTATTAACCTTCTGTAAAACAGAGATAATTAAGGCTATTCATATTTGTTGCAGGCCAAGCATAAACTCAGATGCCATATTATTCTTATAGATACTGAATTTATGAACTTTTCACTACAGCTACATGACTGGGATTTTATATGCCTTGAAGGTTTGGGGAAGTTCAAGAAAAAAGAGGGTTTCCATATTAACTGACAATTGCAGTGGCTCCCATTGTTATCTATGGCAAAGCAACGTGTTGGGTCAAAATTCCAGTTATTTAGTGGGGAAAAAGTGCCTGTAAGGCATTATCACAAACATTACATTAAAAATTTTAAATCAAAAATATTGGCAACTGTCCTTTCAAACAAGTCAGTTACTTTATTTTCCTTCATCCTCTAAAACATTTATGCAGTAAAGGCTGAATTTCATCCAGCTTATTCATTGTGCCTGAATCTTCCCCTAAGAATAAAGCTATTATACAGCTAATACTTTATTCTACAGTCAGCTTCCTTAAAAAGGAACACGCCATTTTAAACTCATTATGGAATTTTTGATAATCAGATATCAGTAAATGTGATTTGCAACCAAATGACCAATTTCCTGGTGCAACAAGCTAATTTCTGGTACTTCAAGATAATCAAGACTTACTAATAACTTGCCTTTACAGTTCACTTCAGGGATAAAAACAAATTTAGCAGCTTTATAACACAGGTAAAGAATTACTAACATTAAATAAGGCTTAATGGACTCTATAGAGAAGGGAGATCACAACTTTCCATGACAAGTTTATTCCACTACACTAAACAACAGGATTTTAACATTCAGCTTCCAGGAGCTTAGACAGCAGGTGTCAATATATTATCTACAGCTCTACTTTTTGATTGTATCATGGAAGTTAGTAAGGAAGGACATACAGTCAGTAAGACTTAAGCAGTCTCAAGTAAAAATCAGGAACACAGGGCAGAGAAAAATATTCTTGATCCCTGTACACACTGCAGAGAACTACTCAATGTTAAACTGGTGCTCAAGAGATTCTTGGCAAGTTGTGCCCCTTCTATTTTCAAGACAGCATTTCATCTCCTTTCTTGCCCTGTGATCCAACTTGCTAAACATCCCACAAAGACTGAAAGGCCTGGCACAAACCTACACACAGCTTTACCACCCACGAGGAAAATGAGAACGGTGCTGCCCACCCAAAACTCTCAAATTTTGCAATCCTTCCAATGCAATTTAGTTCATATTCTATTTATTAAAAGTCCATCCCATCTGAACACCAAATAGGAAATCAAGGGAAAAACATCTGCAGGATATGCAACCAAATTTTAAGGACTACTCATTCCTACCAGATTTCAACCTGTTGCTAAACTTTGGACTCTTGTACTAAAACAACAATGCTATTTTAGTATTCAGCTACAACACAGACAACTTTTCTCTTGTATTTGGTATTCCACACTTTAATCTATGAGTATAGGCTGCATGACTATACCTTCTAGAGTAAAAATTTAAATAAATGTCAAGATCCATGTTAAAAAAAATATGTGCAGGGTTTAGTGAGAAGCATGAATGTATTCTGAAAGTGTTCTCCTCTGTACCTGATTTATACAAGCATAGAGCTCTTCTAAACTAAGAACATAAAAAGGTATGCTATACTGTTGACTACAGAATACTGCAAAGTTTTATTGCCATTTAAACAAAGAAGCCATAACAGTTAAATGAGCTCAGGCAATAGGTTTCAGCATCAAAAGGTGCCAGCTGTAAAGAGTTATGGCTAATTGAATATGGAACTCCTGCTTAATCAGATAACTGCTCTGCTATTTCCAAATGAAATGCCATTTCCATACTGTCTGAAAACGGCCTCTTTTATTGGTAACCAGAGAAAACAATATAAACTGTAAATAACATTAAGTGCTGTGTTTACCCATTCCAGGCACTGAAGTGGCAGGGGATCCAGGGCGCCGTGGTAAAACAGTGGATTGCAAGGATGGCACAGCAGCTCTTTCTGGGAGCCCGCTCGGAGCTGGGCCTTCTCTCTGCAGGTTAGGAGGTGCTGGAAGAGGGGACTTTGGAGAGCCTTGTTTAGGAGTTGCAGGTGGAGGTGTAGAAGCATTTCTTTGAGCTGCAGTCCTCTGACGAATTTCTGACAAGAATATGTACATACTGAATTTAATATCTAGCATAAGCAAGATATTAGTAAAAGTGCATTAATATTGTTATACCAATTAGCAAATTACAGAATCAAACAAAACCAGGAAGGTCTAAAACTAAACATTATCAGCTGAGCATGTCATAGAAGTAAATACCACACAGAAGTAAATACCAGATAGAATATTTCAATTATCATAACTGTTAAATAAACTGTTTGGGGAAAATTCTTCTAGAAGGAAATTAGAGAACAAAATCAAAGTATCTGCTAAGGCTGAACATTGGACATAGAAACAGCTAGACTCAAACCACAATGTATAGAACTGACCACTTTTTACTCCATGGCTTAAAAATGCTTCCAAGTATTTAGCTTTCCATGGGACCAAAACTGTTCATTCAGTATCTAATATGCCCAGGTTACATGCCCCAGTTATGAAAAAAAAATCAGATTGGATAAATCAAACAATTCTAAAACCAGAAGAAAAGGAAATGCTTCATTCAGGTGATATAGTTTCACTGACTTGTTTCAGTAACCCCATTATCAAATCCTGAATGGATTCTCACAAAGCAAGAATGGGCTCTGGCAGAACACTTCCCTGCTTTTACCTCTTCTCACACCACTACCAGTCACTATTAAATCACAATCATGAAAAACTTAATATATTTCCTCAGTTGTTCTTACACGAAGCCAAATATCACCAGAGCAATATACCATGGTTTGAATGTTGTACTAGTCATGCAAGCCTGAGGTTCACACACTATTGTTTGCAACAAATCAAACAGAAATGTAACCATTGCTTTAGGTCTGCAGATATTTACACGGTTAACAAGCAGCAGGTTAGTCTCTACAGGGACACCCCAATAACGCCCACACCTAAACTGCAATACCCTACCGTTAGTGTATAGCACCACGTCACTTTGAACCAGCTTGCATGTCTTCCTTCACAACAAATGGAATTTAACACTACATTTGGACTTTAAAATTACTTCCACGAGTCTCAAGATTAGACAGATTTTATCTGCTGACTTTGTGTCAGGCTGGAAGAGTTTAAATGCTTAGCAGGCAGTTTACAGGTCCACTGCCAACCAGCCACTGGAAAAGGGGTGTGCTGAGTCTGAAGGAATGACCCCTGTCCCCAAAGTACAACACTAGCATGCTAAGCTGCTGCTGTGGGTGGAGGAGGTGAGCATGCTACATCACCTGGCACCAGCAAAGACAGAGCTGCTATCACTGAAGCACTAGGGCAAATGTAACAGTTCTGTGGGAATACAGCCAATCCAGTGCCATGAAAATTGCTACACACATAGGTTATGGTCTTGCCTTCTTATCTGAACATATAAATAGGATTAATACACAACAGAAGAAAGAATTAAAAATTCTTCGGAATCACCACTTTAAAAACTACAAGTTTAAAAACTACAGTCTTACTAAAAATCCACCTAGTCAAGTTTCCTCCAACACAGAACAAATCACTACTTTTTCCCTGCCACATCATGTGCATGGCTGCATTACTTCACACAACCTCATCGTCCAAATTACATCAGTCAATGAGTCTGAAGGTTCTGTATTTAAACTTGATTTTAACAAGTATGTTTGCCCCCTCACTATTTCAGCTGTTCAGAATCTGGAAACTGGGATTAATTGGTGAAGTAGTTGCAGAAATTCCATCAGCATTTCCTTAGTGACTTGCTTCTGGTTTGAAAACTGCTCCTGTATTCAAAGTTCTATATGAAGTAAGAATTCAGTTATGATGAACCTCCCCATTCACATGCCTTCAAGATCTTTTTGTGAGAGCCATATGCAGTAACCTTTCAAGTTTTACTACACAAGGATAACTGCATTCCCTCTATGCCATCTGAGCAACAGGCATGGCCCATCTCCAGATACAAAATATTGATTAAAACCCATGATTTATAGTCAAGTTTGTGTTATAGTTTCCAGTCATGTACTGGTTTCAAAAATTAAGCTAAAAGGTATGTGATTTCTCAAGTCTTCTCAGGTCCACATATGTACAAAAAATTAGTGACAAATATAAAGCCTAATTCCACTTGTTCCAAGATAATTTTAAACATCTGTAAAGACATCTTAGTCCATTCTTTTTTCATTACAAAACCCTCTTTATTATTGTTTTACACAGAAAAATGTCCAAGACCATTACTGTAAATTCTACACATGGATTTATTTTTACATTTTGAAGGCTGTATTTCTAGATCATGAGGTTTAAGCATATTAATTGTTTAAGAATGCTGAGTCTGTTTCAATAGGTCATGGCTATATTCACATTTATTCCGAGCCCATACTATATTATTTCTAAGCAATTTCCATGCCGCCTGCAAGAGCTTTGCCCCTTTTGCCTGTTCCTTATGAAGGGTCATTTTTGGCAAGTCTTCTTTAAACTACTTTCAATTAAAAAGATACTGCTACTTTAATGACTCTTTCCTCATATTTTTGGTCCTATAAAGATGCTGAACCAGTATTTTACAGTAAGTATTAGAGAGATATGCTTCAGTAGTTTTAGTTCCATTACAGAGTTAAGAATGCAAGACTCACTGCTAGTTTCCACAAAATTTGGGTTATTTACAATGCCTTTTCTTCCCCCCTTCACTTAGAAGTTCACTTGCCTTTCATTCTATTCTGTGATTCTACTTAAGAGAACTTGCCAACATGCTGCTGCTCCCCAAGTAAGAGAAGTCACTAGAACAGGCATTATGAGAAAGTGAGAAATGCTGCTCTTGGCACAACAGCCCATCCATTCCAGTATTGCCCTTCACAGAGTGGCTGTAGATGTTATTCAGTGACAACACACAAACTTGAATTTCTGATGCCTACGTTCCTGATACCGTCCCCATGATCCATAAATGCATTGTCACGGACAAGCAAAGTACAGCCCCGTCTCATCATTTTAGTGTCACATACAGACCCTTTATGCATGAGCTCTCTTAATTCCTGCTCTGCACTTCCACAATAACAGCCCTAATATTCTTCTGAAGTAGCTGAATGATCTATATACTCTCAAATTGCCTCAAGATGCAATGTGTTACAAATGAGCCTTTTGCAAAGTCCCAGATTTCCATAATTCCAAGTTGCACAACTTCTTGAAGAAACATGTCCATTGACCTCAACACTAACACAATTTACAGCTACTGCTGATGTAGTTTTAATGAAGTTTTGACATTTTCCAAGGATTTTCTTCAGTAACAATATTTGTGTATCCAAAAGTCAACTGTATGAAGACAGATAAACAGCTTAAAAGTAGAACTTTTATTCTCCAAACACACTACAGTTCAAATTCTGCAGTTACCAGCATTGGACACTTCAGACATAAGCAGACACATTACTTAAGAGATATCTACTCAACTGATGATTCAGTATGAGCTCTTAAAGACTATTACACTACTGCAGTGGTGAGGCAGTGACATGTTTCATGTTTACAAGCATAAATATTTTATTTTTTCCTCACTTCAAAACACCCTGATTTCTGTAGAGAAGAATACATTATTTTCATAGAGCTACATTACACTGTAGGTCAATTTATTTTATATAACTTGTTGGCTTTAGTATCAAAGACTAATCAAGCATTTTCTTCCCTCCTCCTCATGCCTATATCCATCCCACAGCCTGCAACCCATCTTTTATTGCATTATTTTTAATTCAGGTCACAGAGTGATCTCATTTACAATACACTCGTGCTAACAGTCATATTTGCAAAATGAAAAGAGCAGGTACCAACAACAGGATACTGCTGATAAATATTTCACTGCAAATATATACTTACCCTATTTTTCTATGTGGCCAAAGTATTAAATAAGTATATATTCATTAACTGTACCCCCTCAAAAAAACATTTCTAAACAGATAAAACTGCAACTAGATTTTCAAATTCCTTTCCTTCTGGATTTTGTCATGTTTTTTACGCCAAACACAAGACTGACCTAAATCATCTGTTAAAACTACCATTACTTATTTCAGCAATACATGTCAAAATCACAAAAACTGCAAGAAGAGCTAAACACAAAAGAAAATTGGGCTGCTACCAGTTGTTTTTTGAGAACCAACTGTTATGCAATACTGATTAAACCTTTGTACCAACTAGTATGATGTGCAAGCTTTCATTTCAACCAGTAAGTAACCCCATACAAACTAACTAACATTTCATCAGCTGCCTCACACACAACATTGTCCAACTTGATTATGTATCAGTTATTGCTTATCTTTTCAAAAAGACTCCATTACAGAGCTCAAGAAAATTAGTCCTGTTGCTTGGCTAGCTTGTGTCCAAAGAGAAAATCAGGGAAGCTTTAATGTTAACTTGCTAACAGATATTTTATTATTCCAAACCACTCTAATTCTACCACATACTATATGGACCAAATTATACCACAACCACATAAAGGTGTTATCTAGTTACAGTAAGTTATATACTGCACAGAACAGAAGCTAATATTCATTTTGGGCAGATACTTAGCATGAGGTTTTTGCATGAGATATTTATGATATGAGATTCAGCATGAGATATTTTATTATTCCAAACCACTCTAATTCTACCACATACTATATGGACCAAATTATACCACAACCACATAAAGGTGTTATCTAGTTACAGTAAGTTATATACTGCACAGAACAGAAGCTAATATTCATTTTGGGCAGATATTTAGCATGTACAGTAATAAGCTAGCAGGTTTTTTGATAGCTAAAAATTGAAATAATTACTGCATATAACAAGAATTATTTGGTAAGTAAACTTTATTTGGAAATTAAGTCTCCATAATTTCACAAGCCAAAGGCAAGCACAGCTTGTCCCTCTTGAACTATAACACACCTCCAAAACAGAATAGTTTGACTAACCACTTAAATGGGGACAAAAAGCTGCACCAATTCCAAATTCAATGCGTTAGAGAACAGATCACACAAATGAAAATAAAATTGTGCTGCATACAAACAAGTGTACATTGACTCATAGAATCATTTTGGTTCGAAAAGACCTTTAAGATCATAAAATCCAACCATAAGCCATGGCAATTTACAAAATTTATCTTCCAAAATCCTTTCCAAAGCTAAACTACACTTTTATTCAGGATCAAGCAAGAATGCCCATGCACCCCAAAAAGTTGAATCTGTTTGAAAGAGAATTGTACATTTTCTCAGTTGTGTCCCCACTTAGAGGTTATTGGTTCACACCATGACAGTCTCAGAGAGCACTCTTTGCAAATGAAACTGCACTAAAAGATTCCTTCCACCAAGCCCATGAGCCCAATTTACAGCTAGCTCTAAATAAAAAGTTCTAAGCACAGACAAGGCGGGCAAACTCCTCAGCAACAACTCTTTCACATATCTGTTCATACCACTTAACACAGACCACAGCCCACAGTGACTGGCTCTCAGAAATAATTCTAATTCTCTCAGAACCTCTCCCTCCCAGCCCTTCTATTAACAGTCAAGACACAATCAACACAACACAGCATATGCTGGATGCAACTGATCTGCTTTTGTCTGACTGGATCAAAAGCAGGGGCACTACACTTTGGAAACACAAACATGCACAAGACTAATTAACAGACACTGACCAACTCACTTTTCACCACTGCTCCTTACAAAGCCTGGTAGAGGGGAAGAGATCAATCATGTACCTCTTAAGGAGTTTCAAAACTGGTGCTGCTCTCTCTTCATAAAGCCAGAGTGACTAAAGACTTACCACTGCATAATTTATAGCTAATTTTCTGTAGATTTCTATATAGAAACATACATTTCCAGGCAGTTTCATCCCCTGGTCAATGTTACTTGCATTCTGCAAACAGATCAGTCACCCTACAACTGAACTACTGGAGTGACTTCTAACATAGTTTAAGAAGGATGAATTTTATAGAGAGTTTAAAAAGAGCCTAAACCAGAATACCTACACATTACAGGCATAGCATAAAATTCTTGGCAACCACCATTAAGGCAGAGAAAAGAACAGGGTGTCAGAATGGCCCTTCAGCCTGAACAAAACTGTGAATGCTGCAGAAATAGAGCATGGGAAAGACAGGTTAGGAGCAAACTTGAAAAAAAGCCGTTGTGCCTAAGATAACAAAAGAGATTAAAGCTTCACTAATGAGGTACTGCACTGCAACTATTCACTGTCAATTCACTGTCAATGTCAACAAGTAAGGACTGTTTTAAAATATTTTCATGGCAATTTGAAGCTAACCAAGAAGAACAAAACGGAGGATTTGATGATGCAGCTTATAAACACCTTTGTTAGTAAATCCATGTGCTCTGCACTGAACAAAACAAGTACTCCAAGAGTGAAAAATGGGAAAAATAAAAGTTTGGCTACCCACAAGAGTTAAACACAAAGTGACAATTCTAACACTAAATTCTAAAGCAATCTGTATTTTATGAAAAACTATGCATATCAGATTCTGCAGTTTATTTTGAGCATTAGCCCTTTCAGGTTATAACAGCAAGTTAATGACAAAGATTGGTCTCAAAGTGTGAGTACAAACCTCAGTTTTTGAATATCAGGCAGCTTTCATACTGTGCTCATACAAGCATTTTTAGTTCAACTACAGCATACTACACTCAACCTTAACAAAAATTAACAGCTGCCTGTCTGCACAAATACCACATTTTTAATGTAAGCCTCCTAATGTGTGTGAGATCTGTTGAGTTTTGAAACTTGTGTGGGCAATCTAGAAACAAGGTTTCCTTGAAAAACATTCAAGTTTTTCTATTTTATTTTATTCAATGGCACCTTTAAATGGCACAATGTAAACCAGTAAAGAACTGTCCATTAGTTGTAACTAGAAAGTAGTTGAATTATGCACCAACTTCCTATTCCTCTCTGGGCATAAGTAGATGTAGCTTAAGCGCTGCATTAGGAAAGGTCTAACTAGCCATAAATAGAAACACAACTGAAAAGCTAAGTCAATATTACAGAAAATTTGAAAACACCTTAGTATTCTAGAAAAGTTGCAAGTATGCCACAAGAAGTTAATTTTCTCAGCTTTAACATCAAGCAGCATTAAATATCCTGCTGTCTAGAACATCAGGCTTTAGTAATAGATCCCTTGCCTGAAAAATACAGAAGAGCAATGGGCATAGCCTAATGAACAGTCTATTAACCCCAAATAAAGGTCAATTGATCTACAAATTTTATCATATAGACAGACTTCTAGACTAGAAATTGCTGTGAAAGATGAGTATCTATGCTAAAGAGCACCCATTTTACAGGACTATTACCTTGTCCAGGTCTTGGGGTTGCAGATGTTCCAGCAGATGGTAGTTCAGCCTCCTGCCAATTAATGATATATAATATCATCTGAATGCTCAGCTCCGTAGTACCTTTCATACTACATCAGTATCAATAACAAGACTCACCTTTGCACTTGATTCTGGATCAAACCTTTCAAGGATTAGTTTAGCATTCTTGTACGTTTCCTTTTCCATTACTTCCTCAAGCTGGAAACAGAAAGATTCCACACATCATCATCATTTTTCAAAGTATTTCCCCTCACCATAGCCTCTCATTTACAAGCATCTTATCCATGTTACCAAAAGGCAAAGCTCATCCATGAACCAGTAGCATTTTCAGATACTTGAGGATTTGCTGTATTCAATGGAAAATAAATTTTGCTTTCAAAAATAGTTTCCAAACTCTAATGGACTACTTGTACTTAACAGCTTTATTGCAAGGAAACACCAAATATTGCTAATTGTTTACATATAATGAGGAGAATAATTACAAGCACCAACTTCAATAATGGAATGTGCAAAAATCTATCAGCCATCATTATTGGAAGTTATTAGACATGACAAGCAAATGACAGGCAATTCCTTAGATTTATTTCCTCATAGCACTTAATGCTATTAATTTAAGGAAGGTCGTTAGCCAAGTGCTTTACAGAATAAAGTCCCTGTGCCAATTAACTGCTGTCAGCATCGATTTTAGATTATTTATTAGCAGAAGCAATTAGCTTGCTGCAAATGCTGTGAAAACTCACTAACTAGGGAACAGTCATGGAATTTGCTCAAATGACTTTAAAGGCTGGATCTACATCTTTACAGCAATTCAAACTGCTTTTCAGAAAAAAGGAACACGTTAAGAATTTAAATAAAAAATTTACTGAGAACTATGCATACTTTAGGGAGTGTAATTAAAGCACTTCATTATTACAGTGTTTTATTTACAATGCACTCAAGTGGCTTTATAGCTAATACATGGGCTTAATTAAAAAAAGTAATCACTAGTAAAGTATCATTTTAGTGGTTAACAGCCAACATCAGAAGCAGCTTAACTTTGAAACTGAGCTAGCTGAAGTTATGACAAATACCTAACATGGATAGAAATTATAACACATTTTACAGTATCTTAAGCAGACCTTTCTTCCTAGATATGCTGACTAATGGCCATGTTCAGCTAAAAGTGGGGACTTTGTTTGTTCTGAAGTTTACTGTTGGCATAAACTGCAAAACTGAAAAGGTCAGTGGTCAAAAAATTAAATTCTCTCAAACTCATTTATCACTGCTAAAATAACAAATGGTGCAGGTTAACATGAATTTTATGCCATTATTTAGCTAGTGAGAAACTAAAGTTTCAGCCATTCTGCATACACAGACTGTGCAGGAGTTTTCCATTTAGACAGACCTCAGGATTCCAAATAGACCTCAGAAGCTATATAAAAATTCACTCCGTTTAATGGCTACTGTGTATTCATTTAACACTCACTCCTCCACACATTTCTTGAAGTTTGAGGCAAGGAATACTATCCAGGCTGTTAATTAAGGACTGTTGAAACAAAAGGGAGTGAAGAAGGAAGTAAAAATCAATTTCCTAGACTTGTATTTCAGCATCACTTTGGAGTTAACCCACTAACTTCGTAAAACAAATGCCACACAGGGCAATAAGAGCAGAATTAATGACCTAATAGGAAAAATAAAGCATTTATTGCTTATAAAAGTAAAAACTGTAAGACAGACTTTAATACAAAGGGGTAAAGCCAGCGAGGTGAAGCTGCAAAGTGGGGAAGTTTTAACAGTCAGTCTGCCAAATCAGAATTTAAAAACCCAATTCACTTCACACCAATGAACATAAAGTGCATACTATTGTCTGTATAGCCAAAAAGAAAAATGAGCAAACTTCCTGCAGAACAAAGTGACCTTTAGGGGAGAGAAAAACCAGAATGCTCCACCATCACTTGACACTTTCTTTATCTAAAGCACTTCTTGCCACAGAAGTATTAGATAGTATAGTAGCTATTTGTGGATACATAAGTTTTGCAAAAAACAGTTACATTACTTTGAAACATAACTCAATTCTCAGCTCAGGATTCAGATGTTGAAGTTATCTTCCACATTACATAGTTTCTGGATAATTCAACGAGTTACTCTTCATATTTTGAAATTCATATATAGCTTTAAAATTCTAGTAAAGCTGAACCTGAACAAGAATTCAGTATCACAACTAACTCTCCATAAATTTCTTGAAAATATATAGAAATTGTCAGGACTTCTACAGGCATATTCACATTTCTCATGCTTTCACTTATAGAGTATACTTTTCTAAAGTAAATTGAAATTTGGCTGACAATACCAAACAGAGAATCAAAAAGGTCCAAGTTTACTTACTGTGAGCAAATCAGTGTAAGAACAGAAAAAAGTAAGAGCTTGTGTAAAATTTAAATACTACTTCTATGTTTGCATAGCAGAGGAAACTGGCTTTTGTGCCAGCACAGGAAGCTCATTCATGAATGCAAACCAAGACATTGACTTCTGGAAGGAACATTCACCATCCTGAAGCATAATCTTGGAAAGGTTAACTTGATGCTGAGCACTAACACAACTAATTGCTCAATACCTTACTCTTTTTCCATAATAAAGTCTTCTCTGAGATTTTAAACTTCTACAAAATCATTTTCTACTTTCTGTCAAGGGCTAACTCATAGTCTCTCCTTATCAATGAAATTATAAACCAAAATGAACCCAAATCACGAGTGATCTCTAAGCATGATTTTTTCATGGAATTAATCAGATCTTAATAAAGAAGCATGGTACCACATTCTCTTCCTATGAACAATTTATGGATTAACTCCTTCCCAATAGGTAACCAAAGAGAATCCCTTTGGGAATGACATCAGCTGCCTAAATTGAATAGTATGAGTAATGTATTTTAAGCTTCTTATAAAGACAATTTAGCAACCAAAGACTTAAGTACTGGCATGGTGCAAACCACTCATTTTTCACCATACTACTATGTGAGTTCATAAATTGAGAATTACTTACCTCCAACTATGAAGAGGTCTTTCTTTACATCCACACAAAGCCATGAAACTCATTTCAGTGTACCATTTAAAATATACCAGTACACGTAGCAAAAGTTTCATTAAAATTGGAAATACACCATTTAAGTCACAGTAATTAAGTATTCTCTGAACAGATCCATGCCAACATTAAAACCACCAAGGTAACTGACCCTTTGTCAGTAAATATGATTTTAAACTGTATTTTGAGTTTCCAGTTGCATATTTTCAGTACTCTACCATTTACCAGTTAGACAAAACTGGGCTTATCCAAGACCAACTCCTAGCAGAGCTTTTATCACATACAAAAGTCATCAAAATATCATGGTTTTCTATACCTAGAAGGCTGAAGACAAAGTTAATTAAAGAGTGATTAATTTAAGTAACAGAACTCATATGCTGCATTTTTTTCCCCTTACTAACGCAACTCCAAGACAGCCTTGAAATCAAAATAGTTGGGTATTTTTTCCTAGATTAACAGATGCAATTTCCAAGCTCTTATCTGAAATGGCTTGGAAGTCTGTCAAAGTCTAATATTACACTTAGCCTAGTATTCAGAGTAGCTGAGCAAGCTTCAGCAAAGTTTAATTCTAAAATTAGCATGGTAATTACTATACTAGCTTCACAACTTTGTCCTCAGGCTAAGAATTATCCCATCTTTAAGACTGCTGTTCCAGGTAAACTCTCCACTAATTCCCAGTTGTATCAGCTTAATACATGTCCTGTGCCCTTGCTTTAATATGCTTAACCCTCTGAACTTGCTCATCTAACCATGTTCAGGCTTAAGGGCTGACATACTCATTAACTGAGAAACTGTGAGGCCAAAATTGCAGCTAAACAGTCACGAACACAACCACAGTATCCCTCCTTATGATCAAGGAGGGAAACAAAGTTGTATCTTGAAGTAGTGCCTTAATTACTGCTGATTAACTTAATCCCTACCCCCAGTTAATAACTGAACAAGTTTTAAAGTATTCACTAGGAAAAAACCAGCATAGTCAGTTCTGTGAGAAATAAGTATTACACAAACCTTGAGTCAAAGGACGGGACAGACAACACTAATGGCAGTTTCCAGATGAAGTATCTGTAATTGTTAAGTATTTTACCCACATGAGTATATACATGACTATGTCCCCAAAGCCAGAAGAGAAGTTAAACAGAAATTAATTCCTGTTGAGCAGTCACTGCAAATGCATCAGGTTATTATAGCAGATGAGGAGCTTACACCACGTACAGGTAAGCCCTGTAAACCACCTTAGGTCCCTTCAGCACACAAGTAATGTCTGCAGGGAAAAGATGGGTCACATGACTGTAAAACACAAGTATACTGTAACATTTTTCAAAAGGACAACTGTCCTCAATGTAAGATTTATCCAGCAATTAGGTAGATGAGCTGCAACGAAGTGAAAAAGCACAGATGTTGCAGCAGGCTCAGTGCCTAGACAACAATTTCCATTAGAAATAAACAGGAAGCACAAATTTACTTATCCTAAATACTTTGAGAACCACAGTGTAAATTTCTTAGTAACTAATCCTATTTGCAAACTCACCAGCAAATCAGAATTCAACAAGAAAAAAAAAATCCTCCCTCTCTCCATTATTTCACTTGATTTTTGTTTTACTAAAAATTAGTCAAAGGCACTCCTAAGGAAGTTAATCAAACAAAACAAAATCAAATTTGAGTATTAGCAAAATGAAATTTTATGGAATGCAATTGATTCAGCGTTTTTATCTAAAACACTAATTATATTCTGTCTCGTTAACTGCATCACCTTCCAGCTCATTTCAACATATTCTGTTTCATGTATAATTATCTAATTTTAATGCTTAATTGAATATCTTAAATTATGATAAACCTCCTGAGTCCAGCTTCTGAGTAAAAAATACCAACACTGCAGTGACTCAAGAGGTTGCAGTAAGTCCTCTGCTCTGGTTCCTTGCTAGGAACAAGGCACCCACAAGATCCTGTGATAATCACAGACTCTAAAAAATGGCTGACTTACACACTATTGGACTTCCCAGAACTCAGTTTCACTAATCCTATTTAGAAGTTTGTCTTTAATGATTAAAGTTTGATTTGCATACATACTCATGGCAATTTATACTTCCAGACTTAAATTCTCCATGCTTACACTGTCATTTCATTCTTGTCTATGAAGTATTTATGCAGTTGTTTCATTTTTGTATTGTGCACTGTTTCATCCTGGCTCTTCTACAGTATGTTGTTTTGATGTTTTGCATATGCAAAATACACATTTAGGTTTTTCCTGACTAATCTTTTATTCAATGGTTTTTATCTTAATTGCTTCTCACACACAAGAATTCAGTATTACTAGTTGTTCTTAAAAAAGATCATCATGATTACAGAAAACTAAACTTAAACTGAAATGAAGAATTTACATTTAAGATTCCAAAAACTCTTTTGTTCTCCACTGTGCCTTTTCTGCTTCAAGAACTTTTCCTTTAATGCTACCAAATGACTATGTTAGCTGGAAATATTAACTGATTTCAGTTAAGCAGTTTTCATAAAATAAACTTAACATTGTTGTCATGCTCATGTCTTTCCTCCAGAGAAAATGTAAGCCTTTTGAACCCCTTTGTATCACCACTGCAAGCAAAGGACACTCCATTTAAATATCAGCAAATCCTCTTTACCAAAGGACAATGACATCATTAGGTTACAGGTTATCTTTTTTACATCTACATTTTAAAAATGATAAAACATAGATCATGACATAATACCAGACACTTACCCAACCATTTTTGGTTCCTTTGTTCTGGGTTTTTTATTAATTTAGCTACCAAGGTATGAGGTGAACACTTTGGGAAATTCATTAATAACAAAGCCTCACAATAGAATTTTTGGCATTTCTGGAGGGAGGAGGAGTTGCTTTGGCAAGGTAGGGTTGGAGGGCAGAAAGTGTTTAGGTTGTGGTTGTTTTAAAGTTTTGCCTTACAAGGCAGGTGAAGCCAACCATGTAAGAAAACAGCTTCCTCTCTCAACAAGCTTCCCTATGGAGTAATGAACAGAGAGGAAACAGCTCTCAGTGCCACCAACTTGACAAAGAGGGCAAGTTATCCAAGACTTGGAATCTTGCCCATCCTAAATTTTTCTTATTGAGATTAACTGTTGATCAAGTTTGGTGCAAATATCTGGCATACACGAGTTGTAGTGAACCATAACAACCATTTTTTCTTGAAGTTTTACTTACTATTTTTTTCTTTTGGGATTTTAAATCTTCCAGTGCATCATCTAAAAGAAGGACATTATACATTAGTTTTCAAATATAAATTAATTTCAGCACACTCTAAACATTGACTTCACCTTGAGATATCAGGAAAAATTATGCATTGACCACTACCAACTCTAAACATCAGTAAACTTTGTATAAAATAACTAGTGTTTTTATGTGAAAATAAATCACTTAAAATGCTGAAACTGCTTATAAATTATGGCCCACTGTTATCACTTTACAGTTATAACTGTTAAAAAATTTTATGTACCATTTCCTCATTAAGCAAACCAATTCTAGCCAGTGCCCTGCTTTGACCTACATTAAAACTGGTACAACAATGGACCAAATACATTTAATCTCATGATTCAAAATACAGAAAAAAGCCTGAGGTCTAAGCATTAACATATCTGAGAACCAGATTTACTGGCTTCAGTATTTCACATAAACCTCTTAACGCACACTAGTTTCAAATGCCAGGTCAATTCCAAGCTTCAAAGTTCAATCTATTTCCCCCTTTCTATATTCTCAGACTGCAGCAAAGCTCCTAGTTTTGTAAGAGCAGCTACCAGAAAGTCATTTTACTACTAAATGTTAAGAGACTGTTGCAAAAGGTAGGCACAACACCTAACCTTTCTAAGAGGAAGAGAAAGAAGAAAGGCCAAATGCATGTGGGATTCTCCTGAAAGTCAATGTTTGGAGCTTGACACTGATGGAAAACTCACTGTAATAAACCATCACCTAATGCAGAAGATACTCTCTCAACAAATGAGCTTTCTACTACCTCTGTTCACAGCAAGATTTTAACAATAAACTACAACTTTTCACTCTTTCTCAGCTCTACTGAACACTGGCAGATTACTTCCTGTAAAAATATACCTATTCTTACCCATTTTTAAAGACAGAAAAAGCTTCATAGAACTACAAGACACAAACCCATCCCAACTAAACACACTTTTTTTTTCTTTTTTTCTTTTTTTTTTTTTTACTATTTATAAATAGTAATGGTATTCAATACCATTCAAAGTTACTTCTGGAAAACTGTTACTTAATTTTAAGGGAACAAATAATTACTTGAACTTTTACAGAATGCAGAAATCCATTTCTATCAAATACACCTCTTTATTAAATGTAAAATGCAAAACACTAAAACTGACATGCACATATTTGAAAGGCTATTATTTATACAATAAAAGGGTAACTACAACCATCCACATTTGTTAATAGAACACGGAAAAATACAGTATTTAATCCTAGGATGGACTACAGAAGATGGACAATTCCATAAAGTGTGCATCTTCAAATTACTAAGCTACCTCCTTTCACCAAATGCTACATTTATATCAGAACACATTGCCCCCGATTAACAGTTTAAAATGTATTGCAATGCACTGTGGTATCATGAAACCAAATAAACAGCAGAATACAGCCAGCTATCAATGGTTACTCAAGAAACTGCAAGTGCTTTTGGTACATAAATGCCTAGAACACCTTCAAGCATAGCCTTCCACAAAGCAATGCCATCAGTTTCAAGCGTGGGTGTTTCTTTCTGATCACTTCACCTGCTGTACTCAACAAGAACCTGAAGAAACACCTGCCCCTTAAACATGGCCAAATGGAAATTACTGCAAAGTACTCTCAAGAAACCAACATATGTCATCTTAATTAAACCTACAGAAAAAAAAATAATTCATACTAAAGAAGTTAAAACCTGCAATATACCTCATTTATTTTCTCCAGCTTTGGGACAGATCAGCCTAAATCATTAACAGTTGTTTGCCTGACCAGTCCTAAAAACTGAAATTCCATCATCTCTCTGCATCACCTTCCTGAAGCCTAGCTACAAATTTTCTTCATTCACAGCATCATTCCCAAATCTGGTGTATATCAATTATCCAGCACAGAGCTTTTTTGTACTAAATAACCACCTCCAGTGTCTCAGTATGTTATACTAACTTAGCCCAGAATAAAAATCTGGTTTTGAGCAACTGGGTTGATAGTTTGCTGTCTCAGCTATACTTTCTCTTGCTTTACTGCTTCAACCCTACATTCGATTTTTCTTTTTCAAATATAGGACTTTTATCTCTGAGGTAAAACACTTCATTTTTATCCAGTCTCTGGAACCACACAGAAATAATCCCTTTTGGCATGTTCTATCATCTACTAAACCTTTTAAACACAGGTTCAACAAAAGCACCAGACTTGCCTGTATGCTCAAAACAGCAATAAAGACATTTAAGCAAAGTAGAAAAACATGCTTTTTTTTCTTATTTAGCCATGAAATGCAAATCATTCATTTCACCTTAGAAATGAATCACACAGCACCACAGAATATATGGACAATTTTATTTCTACATAAAAATGTATGTTCTGCACTTGCACATCAAATGCAAACATTCGGTTTAAGAAAAATTCTGAAAGTGATGTTTAACTTGTAAGCTGTCACAAATTAAATACATCATGCTGTTCTGCAAGTCATAAAACACAGTGCAACACTGAGGTTTTCCTGTATTATTGCTCACATCACCATGAGATATTGTTACAGGCTGGACTGCTTTCAAGGAAAGTCTCAAATGAATTCTAACTACTGCAGACAAATGCCACAGATGCTGTTTTTAAATAGCATGCAGATTCATTCTAATGCAAAATGCAACAACTTTTTATATATATTTGAAAACCTCCATTACTTCTCGGTTTTGTTACACAACTTCCAATTTTCCTTAGCTCTCAAAAAAGCAGAAAAATACCCACTTATACCTTTCCCACTCAGGTACACATAAGTATGCTTTGGAGAACTTGGGAGAGAAAAGATATTCTGACAAATAAATTAGACACAACTGCTATAAATCTCTTCCCTTTTGTATAATGATAACAGATGACTGCCGCAATACTTGTGAGATGCAAGTATCAAGGGAATTACTACTACTGTTTATATTTCCTTTCCCCTTGCTCCTACTTCTACATCAAATTTTATTCCATTACACTTTTGACACATGCAAAGACAGGAGAAAGTTAGCACAATTTTATAAGTTAAGTGAAAGATTAAGCAGTTTCCTTCCTGCTCTTTCATGAACTATGTGGTAGAAAAACGTTTAGCTAATACTACCTATTTCAGTATCAGCTAAAAGGCTACTCTTGTCTTCCTGGAAGCCAAATGATCAAAACCATTTACATTATCATAGCAAGCATCATTCTTAACTAGCTACATATTATTTAAAAAAAAATAAAACACAAGCAAAAAAGTACTTACTATTTCTTTCTGTCCGTTTGGAAAAGAAAAAAATGAGCAGTGTTCTTATACACCATATTCTTTAGAACAAAAAGAAGAATTATATTAATTAAAATATATTACAGTATTTCTGAAGTCCTTTAGCAAACAACACTTAGCAGATGAGATTTTATTTCACAAATACAAAAGACAGAAACCTTCAAACACTATTCATATAAAAATTAAAAAATAAATTAGCACCTTGTCAACAAGACATCAATATTGCCCTAAATAAAAGCATCTTTTCAATTGAAATTAACTGTTACTTAAGGCAGAAATACTAAGGCAGCAGCAGCAATATCATCACTTGCTAAAAAATGTTCAGCTGAAAATTACTTAGTCATCACTTCTTATTTGACAGATTTATAATGCATATTATCCAAAAAAAGAAACTTACCAGTTCATACCCACAATTAAGGCCCAAGAGATTTGTGGGAAGAATTCTAATACCAATGAAAACCATGAGATAGAGCTATTGTACAAATGCTCTCAGAATTAACTGACCTGAGTCCTAGTGATTTTAGAGCGGCCTCAGTCTACCCAGTTTCTGTACGGTTTCCGCTGACTTAGCTGGAGCAGTTTATGTCAAGATGAAGTTAAACTGATCTATGACCATTTTACATTTGAAAGGTCGTCTCTTTGCAATCATCAGGACTTCATTTGTTTAAAAGCTTAGAACTGCTTCTAATATTAAGCTGACATTTTTCCTGGTAAGTTATTCAGTCTAAGTCAAGTGGCAAACCTCATACACCAAGCCATTCCAAGCATTCAAAGCCTTCCTAATGTTAATTAAATAATAGAGCCTAAATTAGCAATGTTTCATTTAAGAAAAAAAAACTATCTTAAAGGCTAGAAAAGTTATCTAACTAAAAGCAATACATAAAAAAGTAGGCAAAAGGCTCTAAGAGTTTTCTTAATGACTTAATTCATAAGAAGATCTTATGTATTTATATAATGGTTGCCCAGTTAAAAATGCCTTCAAGTGTTAACAACACAGCCCAAGATAGGCAAGTTGGATGAGGCACTTGGAATTTGATAACAGCCTATCCACGGTAAGAGAAACAAATGAATTTAAGTATTCCATGTTCAAAGGTGTGCTATAATAACTGATCTAATAATACAGGTGGATTTATCCGCTTACGCAACACAAAATGTGTCTTCATAAAGTACCAAAAGAAATAAATATTACAGGGTTAAAATTGCCTTAAATACCTTGTTACACAGGCAAAAGCATTATTTCTTTTTAAATGTATGCTTAATACATTAATACATTTTCTTAAATGAAATAATGTATGCTTCTACCTAAAGCTGTATGCTAAATAAGAAGTCAGACATCATGAAATAAAAAAGCATTTTCTCTGTAAGAAATCCAAGACAAAAGTTTAATAGCAGATCATTTCAACCAATTTTACAAAAAAGAAAATATATTTCTGTGAAAATAAGAACACACAAGTTAAAACTAATTCAAATAAAAATCAGTTCAAGAAGAGCACCCTTCTAAAATGCTAATGTATTTCTTCAACTTTTCGGGTATTTCAGTACATTTAAAATTAATGAAGTTATATTCCTAAAACTTAACTTGCTCTACCAACATCAGTAACTTGCTGAGACCCTGAGGGACTGACCTAAGGCAGAAATAAGTTGGTGACTGACTGCAAGCTGGAAAAGGCAGACATACTCCAGTTTGATTAGGTCTGAAAAATCTCTAGAGCTATTACTGGGTGGCACCAGGCATTCAGCATGGAGTCACCTCTTGACCGAGAACAAAGACAAGCTGGCAGCTGCTTGCCATTCATATCTGCCAAAAAAAGCTGAAGGGGAATAGCTTAAGGAAAAAAAAAATCTGATAAACAGTTGCAAGTCATAAGAGAACAACAGACTGATTCAAAGTGCTAGTAAACTGGCATCTAAATCAGAATTTTACAGAGAGCCATCTTGAGAAAAATAAGCAGAACTGGCAGACAAACTAGAGAATAAAAAAGTCTAACATGTAAATTCAAACCACAGCACAAGAAGCCATCACCTTCAAAAATAAAAACTTTAATTTCTACACTAATTCTATCACAACTATGTGAAAGAAGGATGGCAATACTTCCTCTTTTACAAGCCTTTCCTATCAGCATGAACAAGCCTCACACATTAACAACAAAGACTTTGAAATGCTTGTCCTTAAGAGCAAAATTAATTCATATTGCTGCCAAAGATTAATTTGAGCTCTAATTTCTATATTAATCCTTTCCAGTCAAGATCCTGCTGCCCATGTATCTTCTCCACAGGAGTCCACAACAGCAGCATATCAGTATATTATGGATAATGCAGTATGACATACAAACACCATTTTCATCTTGGGGGTTTTCCACACGTTACATTATGCTCATCAAACTTGCAAACCCTCAAATATTTACTTTGACTCTGCCTTTCAAGTCTAAAGCTAGGGCATGTACGAACCATGCCTTCATACAAAGGTGCTGTGCAAATGGAAGTACTTCTGATCATTTCAGCAAATTAGTCAATGCACTGCACTCCCCCATGGGTAGGAAAGATGCTCAGTAGGCTGCTCTCACCTCCCTCATAGTCTGGAGGAAGGAGAGGCAGCAAAGCAACTGTTCAGTGACGCGGAAGCCCATTTTGTTACTTTTAGAAAAGTACATTTCTTAGACAACAAAAGCCACTCATCAGTATAAGCAGCCGATCCGCTCAGAGGAACAAATATGTAGGCAATATTTTCTCTAGTTCACATACAACGAAGTCTGTATATTTTCTTGCTGAAGAAAACATTCAATGATTTTCCAGAAAAACAGCTAATTATGTAAAAGCAGTTTTCAACACAATTAGCATGCTGAAGTCCATTCTGTGTTAAGAGTCACCTAACACATAAAGTAAGTTTCTTCATTAATTCTTGTATTTTTCCCAGGTTTATACTCTACATTTTACACATAGATGACATACCTTTGGTTACTTCTGTATAGTAATGTTATTTCTCTGTAACATTACTATGTTACATTCTTCTGTACAGTAATGTTACTTTTACTGCAGTAAAAAATAACACCCAAGAAATAGAGTAAAAATAAAACACTTATGCTTATACTACATTATCTTACTGCTGCTCAGACACAGCTCTCTAGCCCCAGTATAATTTTGATAAGCCAAGTAACTTTAGATGCTATTATCTTTTGATAAGACCTAGTTGTATACTAAACCCAGACCCAGAAGAGACATTCCCCTCAAAGAAAGTGTCTGCCTAACTACTTGAATCTATTTTAGAAGAAAAAATTCAGCAAGTTATGACATCTCAAGGACTGTCAAAGCAAACCCAAACCCCTGCTGAGATGCATTTTCCATCTCCTTTTATCAAAGAGACAGCAGTTAGAAAATAAAAAAGGCATATTTACTTACATCAATGGAAATGCAAAAAATGGAAGTGTCATTGTCAGCCTTGCTGTCCATTCGTCAGGAAGACACCACAAATACACAATTAAGCAAGTAATAAGGTAAAGAAGTGAGGAGTAGAGAAGAAGCCTTCCAACCCATAGTTTCTGTAGCCTCTGATTTTTTTCTCTAAATTCTTCTAATGTCTGTATTTCCTGCAAATAAAGAGGGTTCAGCCTTATTAGTGCAATTAGTAAGAGGTTTTACTAAGCTGCCTTTAAATGTTTGCTAAAATCTCCCCTATCAGTCTGATACTTGTTTAGAAAAGCCAAGCAGCTCTTTGATAAATGACAATATTTGCCCAAAGGTAACTTTCATAGCATAAATACTCCACACTAATCAGGCTATGATATGGGCCACTTGCACCTTATTAGCAATTGGTAAGAACAGTTAAAAATCAGCACTTTTTCACATTTTTAACGCATTAGTATATTTGGGACAAGTGAAAAATACCAGTATCTTATGAAAGGCAGTCTTTACTATCACATAAGTCACTACTAACCATACTCAGCATTCTAAAGCTTTCATCAGGTACCTGTGGAATGTTAAATGCCTCTGACACTTTTCTACTAACATGTCAAATTGCTGGAACCTCTCCACCACTATACTTGTTTTCCTCTCAGTACTTTCCTCACATTAAGAGTGAAATCATGAACATCTGTATGATGCTTCTGGTATATTAATAAGTGACCAAGCAATGCTCTGCTATGCTAACCCTTGCAACTGTAATTCAAGTGACAACAGAAGTACTCACAGTTTCATTAAAAGGAAAACAAAAATATCAACAGCATATTTCAAAACAGACAGAATACAGACATCTGTCACACATGCTGGTGAAAAATCACAATTGATTACTGAACAACCTACCCAGTTATTCTGCCCCTGACCTTACTACCACTAGTTACAACTTCTACACATAAAACCATACATTGAGGCTTTTCTAATCAACCTGAGGAATGGAACTTGGCATTAGTGACATTTTACTTTACATGGGACCTTAACAATTAGTTATAATTGAATTGTGTAATCAAGGCAGCTTCATATTCATTCCCATTTCAGGCTCTCTAAATATGTACTTGCCCTGTAGTTTCTCACTATGTATTATACGGTATTGGTATTTTTTAAATTACTAAACAGTAAGGGGAAAAATTGTAACAATTTCTCTGATATGCAAAATCTCTACTACTGGAATAATTACCAAAATAATTTAAAATTTCATTACACTATTTTACTAATGTGAGAGAAAGACATGGCCAGCAAAAAGGACATATTTCTAAACAAAAAATCAAACAGAACACCAAAAAGCAAACACATACCTTATCTATTTTTTCTAATACTTCTACAGTGGAAGGCTTTGCCTGCTTACAAGGGAAAGAACAAAGATATTAATCCAGTATTTTGTGGATTACTGTACATTAACAGTTTCCCAACAAAAAGACATACTCATAATAGATTAATAAATTATCTATTCTACATAAAGGTAAGACATTTTCCTACTTTAGTGTGACAAATAGAAATGACTGTAATGAATCACGATTTTACAGCTGGCATTACTCTAACCCGAAAGCTCCTCTCCTACATCACAAAAAATGAAAATCTATAATGCTTCTACAGCAATAATGAATGTGTAGGTAGAAAGCAAAACAAGAACAGAATTGATGAGTGGCAGAAATAGGCAAAACTCAGAGAATATAGAGAGGAAGCCCTAATCTGAGTACTCCAGCTTTTTATTACTATTCATTCCATATAAGGACACATGGTGTAAATAAATCATAAGCACCTGCAAATAAGGGCTGTCATCACCAGTAAAATTCCCTACAGGAGCAACTGGAAATCCTCCTTCTAGGAATCTTTTCTAAATTCTGAGAATTATCAAGCCACAATCTTTCCCCAGCCTTCACACTACAAATTCAAAAGCCACAGCTCACATTGCATCACTCTGAAAGTGAGTTTCTATTATACAAAACAGACATTCCACCTGAAGTTTCACCTTTAATGGAGTTTTGTACAGAAGACTCTGCAGTCAATTGCTAATAAGCAAAGACAAACCTAAACTCGAGCAACTCACACCTGCCAGGAGAGAAGTCAAAAACCTCATGCCTCTTCTTCCTCATAAACTCAGTACACCACTCAACAACCAATAAAAGCAGATAGGAAGACAGACTCGTACAGGAATAAGTAGCTACCAAACCATTTGTTAAAACAACCAGAAATGTATTCTGCACATACCCATTTTTATCTAGGTCACCAACACTTCAAGTCACAAATGCTGCAGTTTCTGTCCCAATGATGCACCACAAAAGTATTTAGATTTACAGAAAGAGTTAAAACTGCATTTCTTTAAGTTAAACAAGCCAGTGCCAGACTGGTACTATAAAGGAAATTAAGGACAACAGCAGAGTTTCACAGCTTAGTGATTTAGCAAAGAATACTTTTGGTCATGATATCTCACTACTGGACTTTTAAGTGACATACTAGAAAAGTTCAGCACTATCATTCAGCCAGCATTAATAGTCAACATGTCCCAGATACCCCCATCTTCTGGACTAAAGGTTATTACATTGTTATACAATGTTACTTACCCTCCATCTTGAAATTAATCCACCCATCTTCTATTGTGGACAAATGCTGGCAGAGCTATCAATCTTCTACAAGAATTCACAGCTAGAAATAAAGCATTCAGCACTTAGGAGTAATCTAACAACATAATCAAAGATTCTCAAATTCATTCCAACATCTTAAGAAATCAAAATGTTGGATAAAGCCATTGTCTAGCTATCTACCTATGTGCTATCTCTAAATTCAGTTTTCTGATTCACAGGCCATCCTGTAAGTCAGTTGATCAGCTCAGATGTGGCCAAAGTTATTTTTATTTTGGAAATACTTAACCAGTAGGGACTCAAAAACACAGGCACAAATGAACTGCAAAAAGAGCCACCAAAATACTCCAGCAAAAAAACAATTTCAAAAACTTCGTATTGGGCATTATTTAAGATACTGATTTCTAGTTATTTCCTCTGCTGCCCCTAAGCATAGCTCAGTATTCCTTTTTAGCTGTAACTCTAGACATTCAGCATTAACACCCTGTTAATGAGAAAATTTCTCAAATAAATGCTCTCATCAACAAGAATGTGCTATGCACTCAGTTTTAAGTTCAAAGAACCAGTTTCAAAGATTTCATTTGCTATACAAAAGCACTGCATTGGCAAGTCTTCCCTGCACAACTCACAGCCCAGTCACCAGCACATCAAATGAGTCTAAAACAGTTCCAAAGGGGCAAGAGCAGCTCACCTCACCCTACACAAACCTGGAACCCATGAACAACACTAATTTGATAATCTGGGTCTAAGCTCCTGAAACAAATTGTAGCAACTTCCCATTAGAAGATAGTTGAATCAATTGAACCTTAGGATGGCAGACTTTCTCTCCATCCATTTAATATACAAGTTTTTTACCTATTTAACAAAAAAGTAATCAGTCCAAAACAAACCCTGACAGTAAACTAATGCTCAATCCCAACCAGGACTGAAAACTTTTTCATTCTGGAATGAAACACTAACACTTATTAAAACAAAGCACTGATCTAGCAAGACAGAAATATAAGTGATCATTTTCTTGCTTACTAAGTTTCCTTTGGCCAAAAATGGAAAGATACATTTCAATCCAAATTTGTTTTCAAATTGTCTGAGGCTGTTAGAGTGATTAATATGTATAGGACATACACTGCTCACTAGCACAAACACTGCTGTAGTCTGGTAACCTCCCCACCTTTTAAGAAAGCCAAGGACTTCAGAACTATAGGCCCCACTGGTTTCAGAAACCAATCCTTAAAGATAAGGAAATCCATATCAGAAATGCCACGAGAACGAAGCTAGAACAGATGGGCAAATTATCTCCACTGCTGCCAAATTAGTAGCTCAAAGGGGTGAGATATAGAAAAAGCAATTACCCCTTGGACTCGAACAAATTCTCAAAATAATCACTACTGCAGCAACTCACCTCAGTAAAACGGCAGTCTTTTTTTTTTTTTTTTAACACACAATCCAACACCAAGAATTTTACACAACTGTGACTTTGGGGATACAGGCAAGCTTTTGCACAATGGGTATTGCAGTAGCTCTGAGCCTACACTTTCTTCCCAGATATTTCTACAGACAGAGACAGCTTTTACATGGTTTTGCAATAAAGATACTGTGTCAAATAGCCAATTGAGAAGTCTGTAAAGCCAGCACAAGGCCCCTAAACCTAGGTTGTTTCCCTGGGATTGCCACTGCTGTTAGAAGCAATGGTGGCTCTCAGCTGTGGAAACAGAGAGACACAGAGATGTTCACACGGCCTTTGTGTGTGCCATTTTCCTTCAAACCCTAGTTTGAGAACCTCTCCACTAGAAGTGTCAGAGTATTTTTTGGGAACAAATTAACCTAGAACTACTGGTGACTGACTTATAGCAATGACACATATACACAGTGCTATTGCCACACAAGATTTTTTTAAATATCTGGCAAATGCTTGGAAGAGAAACAGGTTCGACAAGTGTCACTATGCATCTGATTTTACAGGAGCTGTGATGATGACAGGCTTTACAGATGCTGCTCTGCAAGTCTGAAATACTACCAAAACCCCAAAGAGGTATTAAGGAATCATTAGGGCCACTAGATTCACATTTACAGTTCAGTCACTGAATCCTCAGTGAGGAGCTGGAATATTTTCTATGATTACTATGGAGTGCCTCAGATGTTCTCCTTCTTCCCTCTCTTCTTATTGACAACACAAATTGTCTTCAACTGCTTCAAACTCTCCTCCTTCCTCCTCACCTGCCACTCCACATACCTACCACTAATATCAATCCTACTCTTCATGGCAAGAGACTGCCCACAAGTTACTTCCTTCCCATGCTCTAAACAACCAATTATTGCATAGGACTTTTCCCTTCTGAAGACTGCACTCTAGCACTGAGCTGTGCACTTCACTGACTAAGCAGCAGAGCAGTTGGACTTATTTCCACACACATTATCAGTGATGCAATACACATGTAAGATAGCTGCAACATGTCCTAGGCTTCAAGCAGACAAAAAAAGCACTAAAAACACTGAACAGAGAAGCTTAAGAAAACACTACTATCAATTTTATTACCTGACTCTCTCAAAAAAAAATATTTATAGCAGCTCCTCTACTTCCAGAACATTAAAGTTATTTATTAAAAAGCAGAAGTGCCAGACTAAGAGACCAGAGCAGAGAAAGCTTCTCCTTTGAATGAGGCGTAAGTCCACTAAGTCATCCACGCCCATCCACTGGAGAAAATAGCTCCATGATCTCATTACACTTTTATCAAGTCAGTCTCAAATTTCTTCAGACTTGTTAATGTTTTAAAGATTAAAAGTTCTCCAAAACTCAGTCTCCCAAGTAAATTTTAATAACTGACATGCTGAAATTCAAGGCTGAATAACACCAAGAGAAGACATATTATAAGAAAAAAAAAAAGGAAGTTAGAAACTTGTAATCAAGGCCTTGCATACAGTCATACAGATCTCTCCCCTTAAGGAATGGGCAATGCTTTTGAAATAGGACTTTTTTGCAAAGTTAGTAATTCCACTTTCTGTAAGCATTTTTAGATATTTACCACTACAAAGAATACAAATTCTAACTTTCAAATTGAATCTGTAGTTCTGCTCACAGTTCACTCAAAACTTACTGACCTCAGAAACTTCCACTGGGACCAGAAAAAGTTTCCCCAGCTGAGTGCCGCGGACAAGGAAACAAGCAAAACCAAACGAGGAGCATCACCCACCACCTACTGCTAGCCTGTCCTAGGACGCCTCAGTTACAACAAAATGCTATACTTGTTTCCACTTAAACTTCATTTTCGGCCGTTTCCGTCTGGAAGCATCCCACAGAAGTCCTATGCTTTGCAGAGCCTTAATTAAAAAGGCAAATTAGTTCCCAGACGGACTGCACAGCGACGGAGCGACAAGTGGGTGGGTCAGGCGCTCATTTTTGAAACCCAACCCCTGCAGCCTGCGCGAGGGGCGGCCAGCGCGGGGCCCGGCGGGCCGGCAGGGCGCTGCCAGAGGGCAGCGGAGCCCCCCGCTCCTCGGCTCCCCGGCCGGGACAGCACCGCTACCGCTTCCGGACAGGGCGCCCGCCGCCCTTGCCCGCAGCCGAGGGCTTCCTCCTCCGAGGCTGCACCACGGCCCACCCCGGCCCGCTGCCCGCGGCCAGGAGGGAGTGGGAGGGGGCACCTGCAGCCCTGCTCCGCTTCGCGCCCCGGGGCCGGCACCTGCGCGCTCCTATGGGGAGCGCCGGGCGCCCCTCACCCGCCACCCCGCGCCCCTCTCCCACCGCGGAGCCGCTCGGGCCGGACCGGGCCGCGCATCCCCCTCCATCACGTACCTGCTGCGGGGCGGGCCGCGCATCCCGCCCGCCGCCAACGCCGCCGCAGGAGGAGCGCGGCGCCAGGGCGCTGCTCCCACCAGGCCCCGCGCGGGCGCGGCAGCTCTGCTCCGCTCCGCACTCTGCTCCGCTCCGGACAGTGCCGTGCCCGGCCGTACCGACCGGATCGTACCCGACCGTGCCGTGGCATGGCGTTGCGCCGCTCCCGCCGCGCTTCGCGGCCCGGCCCGAGCGGTGTCCCGGGCAGCTGTGCCCGGCCAATTCCAAGCGGGCGCTGTCGGAAGGCGCTCACCGCCGGCCGGGCCGGGGGCGCCAAGCCTGTCTTCCTGCGGCTCTCGCTGATCTGTTACAGAAAATAACGGTGTTTTAAGGCAAAAACGCAGGAACGCGAGGGTCAAACTCATGTGGAGGCTGGCGGGCCCCCTGACGCCGGTGTTCCGGCAGTGAAGCAGCGCTGACCAAGAGGCGCCGTGCTGCGTGTGTGCTCCGCAGGCGGGCGCGGAGTCCCCTGAGGGTCACAGCCAGCGCTGCTCTCACCGTCCCCTTCCTTCCAGTCGGCATGTGCTGAATATCTTTGGAGAGAAACTGTCTTTAAATCACGTTACTGTAATAACAGTGTCCTCTCCCTTGGTGCTGTGCTTCCATCAGCTTTCTTACGTCGCTGGCGCCCATCCCTTGCCTCATGCCGAGAGGACGCAGGAACAGAGAATAAATGCTTGCTCTGTTTGCACTCTGCTTCTGAAATGCCCTGTTCAGAAGTTTTACCACTATAGTAACACAAGTGCATGTACACAGATGTGGAAGAAAGTCCTTCCAAGTACCTTGGAGTAAAAATTCCTGTGCAAAAGGTGTACATCTTCAGCTGACCCTGCATTGTTGAACTTGTATGTAACAGTGCCTCACAATACAGCCTCTAAGTGTTGGACTTTTTCCAGTTGTGGTAGGTTGACCCTGGTCAGGAAGTAAACACCCACATAACCTCCTGCTCCTTCCCCCTCAGGAAGATGGGGGAGATACTGGAAAAAGTCAGAGAGCTCATGGGTTGGGTTAAAGAAAAGTTTAGCAAGTGAATGAAAGAAAAAAAAAAAAAAAAAAAAAAAAAAAAAAAAAAAAAAAAAAAAAAAAGTGATGCAAGGGAAATAACTAACCACCTCCCACAAGCAGACTGATGCCCAGCAAGTCTTCCAGCACTTAATGATTCTGGAAGACAAACAGCCCTCCCACCTTCTTATTCTGCAATCCCAGTTTTATTGCTGAGAATGACATTATGCGGTATGGAATATCCTCTTGGCAAGTTTGGGTGTGCTGTCCTGGCTGTTTCCCCTCCCAAAACTGTGGCCTACCCTCAGCCTACTGTCTAAGGGAACAGAGCATGAGAAAAGGTAAAGCCTCGATGCTGTGCAAGTCCTGTTCAGCAAAGGCCAAAACACTGCTGTGTCAGCTCTGCTTTTCTAGTCACAGAATACAAAACACAGCATAATATGGGCTGCTGTGAATAAAATTACTTCATCCCAGCCAGACCCTGTCCATGAACTCAAAAAGAATAGGAAAATATTTTAGACCAGGAGAGGACAAAAGATATCCCACCACTTGTCCAGGCAACACAGTGAGCTTCAGGCTTCAAGTGTTAGAGCTGCTGAGTCTGATCATCTGCAAGCATTCATTCTTAGTCTGGACATTGGCAAGTTGATCTGTGTTCACAGTGTTCAGTGTGAATCTTGCTGCTCACATGATTACAGTATCAAATAAGTAACAACTTTAGCTGTGAATCATAGTTTGGAACTGGCTTCATGACGCTTCATTCAAAAAAAATAATGGGGATCAATGGAGAGCCACTGACTCGACTGGAAATACTCCGCTATCAATTACAGAGCTCACCTACATATACCACTTCATTTTCCTCATTGAGGCCTAGACTGTTCCTTCCTTTCCAGTGGAAAAAAGGCTCAGTGACTGAGCCTCTCCTACTCTTCAGGTTGCACTCTAGAGCCACTTCTACTTAAATCCTTATAACAATGACTATCACTTTGCTGAGAGGATATCTTTCTTATTCATTTCAGATCAATAGTCCACTTCTGACTTTGATACTTCAAAGTGCTGTGTTGCTGGGGAGAGGCTGATTTAAATCTTAATTTTTAAGCTAACACATTGAAGTGTGCTGACATCTTTTTCCACGGTCTAGCATCATATCCACTTAAAATAAATGCAAATAATGAAGATACCCTGTTTAAAGGCATTTGGACATGCTGCAGGCAATACTAGCGTCTCCAAGAATCAGCTGATTTTTTTTTTTTTTTTTTTTGCTTTTTTTGCTTTTTAATTTTTTCCAGAAATGTCATAAATACTTTCAAGTCACAACAAAATTGATTCCTAGTTCAGGGCTGAAGCAGAAATGTGAAGGAGATCCCAAACTCTACTTCTGTCCCTGGGGCCTTTGCAGAGCTGGTTTTTATGCAGGCCTCTGCCATGAAGTTCTAATCATTGCTATTCAGTTATGGATCTCTGTAACTGGTAGTTTAAAAAAAGCATTGTTAGCTACCATTACTGAACCTTACATGCAGATAAGCCTCTCAGCTAGCATGCAATAGCATGCAGCTCCCTGTTTGCTTAAGCACCAAGATGTACCTAAAAAAAAAGAAATTATGCCCATATAGCTGCCAAGGATAATAAAACTGAGTATAGAAACATAATTTTGAATCAGCCAGCTTAAAATTTTCATTAATCTGGTTCAAAACTGCCCCCTACAGAGTATTTAACACTTTTAAATAGATTCCCTTCAAAATCCTTCATTATCAGTGGGAATAGTGTTTAACCTGACTTTGTATAACCACTTTAGCAGCAGAGTACATCTTCAGAATTTTCCCCAGCATCATAGGCAGCATTTAGCACTTTCAGTCTCTCTATATTCAGAACACTGAACAATCAACTTATTTTAAAAATCAAACAAGAAGCTTAGTTTAAAATGTTTTGGTCTCTCGCCCTAAGACTGTTATTGAGAAGAGTTCTTCCATAGTAACATTTGTAGCATTCCTACATTTTATCAATGTATGTAGTCTAGTAGTCCAATTTTTTTTTCTAAATAAGTATATGGGTCTGTACATCATTTGGAAAGTGCTGTCTGGTTAAGAGGAATTTAGTGTTGACAAATTGTGTTTGCTTGAGGTTTTTTATTTAAAACTGACCCTTTTGGACTACTCTGGCTGGTGAGACCATGTGGGTGCTGGGGAGTTTCAGATGGGGAAACAGAACCTCTGTTTGCACTGCAGGTGGATTGCAGCAGATGAAGGTATGTATGTAGCCTATATCACGAGCTTCACTGCCCACACTGTGACTGTGCTCTGTGCATCTCACCATTTCTTTCACATCCCAGTTACTGGGAATTATGTGCTGCTGTACACTGCATTGCTCAGGCTGAAACTGGGGTACCCAGTTACCTGGTGTGCCCTGGCCATTCTGGGCTCATTGCTGTACACCACAGGGGACTCCTCAAGGGCACAGCTTCACTCCATGCCTGGGGTGCAACATGCCCTGTGGACACCTCAGTGATTAAAGCAAGCCCAAGCTGTTAGGGACACAATCCCAAACTGTTAGGGACACAATCCAGGGTCTCCTCAGCTCTGCCCTCCACCTGCAAAGCCAGTCTGCCACCACTGGTGGAATAAAGGTGGTGCTGGGTTTGGGTGGCTGCAGCATCCTGACATCCCATCCTCAGTGGAAGGTACCACAGCCAGTGGTGTTAGTGGACACCAAAATTTAATCTGGTCAACAATGGACCACGTGTCTTGAGGCCTGTTTCCTCTGCATCTTGAGCAGAATGACTGCTTCCTGGTATTTCATAAATGACACACACATAGTAACTGACACACATTTTTGAGTGTCCTATGGAATTCAGCTTTGGGAAAAAATGTAATTATGTTTATGTGTATTTTATTTGTAATATATTTGGAAAAGCAATATAGGAAGAAATTATTTTTTATCAATGCAAGGAAATATGTATGCTATTCATTAATTTTGTGTGGGCATGTCTGTAGTAAAAAAAGCGTCTACTTAGCTCTTAACTGATGTGACTGATTATAACTCCAAACTATTTTCTTTTCAAAACTGCCAGTTCCAGTTAGGACTGGGAGTTTGAAAAGAGCAAGAGAAAATTGCATATATTACAAGGGACAGATAGAGCCCTAGTAGAAGGAATTGCTGAGCTGGAGGGAGTTGAGACCTGAAAGCTGATATAAATTTGTAGCTGCAAGAAAACTTAAAGTTGGATTAACCAAATACTTCGTGCTTAATTTTTGACATTCAAATAATTTCAGAGCATACAAAAAAGGTGGAACTCCTAAGCTGGGGTGACTTCAGTGACATATTTTGACAAGATGTGCTTTAAAAATGTGTTCTACAGCAACAGCACTGGGAAAGATATCCTAGTTTTGATTTAATTTCTCATATGTATATGCTTCTTTTGATGTTCTGATTCAACTGTAGTATTTGGAGTACTCAGATGTCTGTGTTCTTACAGTTGCCTCCAGTTCCCTGAGCCTTTTGATATTTCATCACGTAGGGCATTTGAATGCTCCATCACTTTCATTAAGTTCTTTGCTTGTGACTCTTGCCAGAAAATTATTACCTCAAAAAGAAGTATATAAGCCATCAGGTCAGAAGGTGTAATATCAAGTGAAAGGCTCATATAAAAATATCTTAGCAGTTGCATACAGTCATCAGAAAAAGCCAAGATCAACTTTTCCACTCCATAAAGTATTCTTGTCATGATTAAGATCTTTGCTTTTGGTTAATAATATTGCTATTTTTACTACTACTTAGTTTTGTTACTGTATGGCAACTGTTACTGTTGCTGTTACTGTTGGTATTGTTACATAACATTTAATAACCATGCAGTTAGTAATTATTACAATTGTTACTGTTATTATTTCTATGGTTATTTTACTGATTATTTTTCTGTCACAAATGTAAACATTTAAAAATGTTTAATTAATTTATTAAAATATATATTTTGTGTTAAACCTCTTGGTTGATACCCTTTTATATACTTGGAAGGCAGTCAAGCATAAAGTACAAG